GGATTCCTACCTGAGGAGGGTGGGACCTAACCCTAACCTAGCTCTGGTAGTGTAGTGGTTACGAATTGGGCTGCTAACCTCAAGGTCGGAAGTTCGAAACTACCAGCTGTTCTGCAGGAGAAAGATGAGGCTTTCTGCTCCGGTAAAGATTTACAGCCTCGGAAACCCTGTACAGGGTCACTATGAGTCAGAACCGACTCCACTGTACTTAACAACAAAACTTCGGAGTGGTGTCTTATAAAAAGAGTAGACGAGAAGACAGAGAGATACAAGTCATGTGAGGATTCATCTACAAGCAAAGAAGCCCCAAGAATTGCCAGCAGACACTAGGAACTAGGAAAGAGGTTCCCAGAAAAACTGAACCTGGACTTTTAACCCCCAGAACTGTAAAACAATACAGTATTGTTCTTTAAAGTCACGGGCTTGTGGAAACTAAGATACATCCCCATTCTGACACACACCATCAGATGTGTATACCACACACAAGGCTGCGAACCTTAAGGTCAGCAGTTCGAAACTACCAGCTGTTCTGTGGGAGAAAGATGAGGCTTTTTGCTCCCGTAAAGATTTACAGCCTCGGAAACCCTGTATAGAGTCACTATGAGTTGGAACTGACTCCATGGCACATAACAACAACAACAACATGCAGTTCTCAGAGAAATAGGCAAACTCACACTCACAAATGCATTCAGAAGTTCACACTGAGCAACACGCACCTAGGCATGGTTGAAAGGTTCTCACACTCAGGTTCACACTATAAACTCAAATACAATATGCACAAATATATTAATATAAACACACAGAACTACATTCTGAAACGAAGACACACACACACAACCACAGCCACACTGTCCTGCTCATACAGTGGTGGTGTTGAGTGCTGTTCAGTATGTTGTGATTCATAGCTACTCCGTATAGGGTTTCTGAGGCTGTAAATCTTTTTGGGAGCAGAAAGCTTCACCTTTCTTCCAAAGAGTGAGTCGCTGGTTAGAAACAAATATGAAGATAAGTCAAAAACTATTAGTATAAACTCATAGAAACCTTTATTAAGCAAAAATATAGAATCATGAAACTATATTGTTTCCCATCATCTAGCTCTCCATCGAGATCTAGACACATCTGAAGGCAGTGTTTCCATTTCTTTAACCCTTCTGTTCTCTTCATTTCATAGCATGACAAAATGATAGTTTGAGCACCCTTGTTGTTGTTTTTAAGTGCCGTCGAGTCGGTTCTGACCCATAGCGACCCTGTATAAGGTTTCTGAGGAGCACCTGGTGAGCTTGAACCTCCAACCTTGAAGTTCAAACCGACCTTGAAGTCTAGTGCCTTAACCCACAGCACCACCCCAGGACTCCTGGGCACCCTTGAGGGACTCAAATCTTGTTCCTTTTAAATGTTCTTTGAGTTTGGGGGCCAAAACAAGAAGTCTGAGGGGGCAAGATAAAGACCGTAGGCTAGATAGGGTAGTGATGGTGTGGCAAGGAGTTGGTTCTGACTCATAGTGACCCTGTACAGAGTTTCTGAGGCTGTAAATTTTAATGATAGCAGAAAGATGAGGCTTTCTCTCATAGAACAGCTGGTATGTTTGAACTGCTGACCTTGAGGTTAGCAGCCCGACTCATGCCCACTCCGTTACCAGAGATCCTGGATAGGGTCAGGTTTCTCAACAAGATTGTCATAGGCTCGCCTTTACTATGCTTTGAGAATAAGTAGGTGTCTTGTTTTGATGCAAAAAATTCCTCAGAACAACTTTCCTGGCCTTTTTCTCACCAATGCAGTTTCAAGTTTATTAAAGCTTCCTAATAAGTCTCCATGACGGTCCTATGTCCTTTGAGAAAAATCTTTTAGGAATTTCAAAAGACAGTCGCAATAACCTTCTGAGCTGACCTTTCTGCCTTGAATTTGGCCCACCAGATCCATCCCCTCAGAAGCCACTGTTTTGATTGGATCAATCTTTAAAGGCACCCTAAGGAGACCAACCTGCGATATGCAGATGATCCTTTTGAATTACGGTGTTGGAGAATATTGAAAGTGCCATGGGCTGCCAAAAGAACCAACAGATCTGTGTTGGAAAAAGTGCAGCCAGAGTGCTCCTTGGAGGCCAAGATGGCCAAACTTTGTCTCTCATACTTTGGACATATTGTCAGGAGGGACCAGTCGCTGGAGAAGGATATTATGTTTGGTAAGGTGGAAGGTCAGAGAAAAAGAGGAAGACCCCCAGTGAGATGGATTGGCAAAGTGGCAGCATCAATGGGCTCAATTGTGAGGTTGGCCCTTGATTGGGCAGTGTTTTGCTCTGTTGTGCATAGGGTCATTATGAGTCAGTACTGACTCGATGGCACCTAACAACAAGGAGACCAAGACAAGAGAACATGTCTGCAGCTATCCACTGATCTCAGAGACATGTTTGAACACACTTTGTATGGGCTGGAACCATAGTAGCAATACTTTTTGACTTACCCTCATATATCCCAGTGAGACACAACCAGAGCTCTACATACAAATGCTGCAGACTCCACAAATAGACACACATTTACCCAGCAACAGCCACACAATTTCCTAACACACACCCATTCAAACAGTATGTCCACTTCCTTACTAACTTGGACATGAAAACTCACTGCAATTGAGGCAATTCCGACTCGAAGACTCAGTAGGACTGAACAGAGCTGCTCCACAGGATTTCCAAGGCTGTAGGATATGGTGTGGCACTGTAGGATCAACTGCTGGACTTCGAACCACAAGGTCAGCAGTTGAAACCCACCAGCTGCTCCTCAGAAACCTTATACAGGGTCGCTGTGAGTCAGAACCAACTCACTAACACTTAACAACAGGATAAGCACGAGGAGTCCTGGTAGAGTAGTGGGTTATACATTGGGCTGCTAACCGCAAGGTCTGCAGTTCAAATCTACCAGCTGCTACTTGAGAGCAAGATTTGCAGCCTCAAATAGGCTACATACGGTTGCTATGAATCGAAATCAACTCAACTGCACTTAACAACTATCTTTAGCTCTTTAGAGCTCATCTTTCTTCCTTTGAGTGGTTGGTGGGTTTTAACTGCTGACCTTTCAGTTAGCCACCTGATGCTTAACCCATGGCACCACAAGGACCACTAAGCACACTCTTCTACAATACACAAATACGTCTAGATGCACACGAAAATCTAGTCACACATAAGCACACACACACCGTTACACTCACACCCTGATGAACACATGCAGACATCCTCAAATACACTCTATTCACCACCCAAATTCATTCTCACATACACACACACACCACAGAAAAACTTAGGATCTAACACCTACATAATACAGATCTTTGTACACTTGGCACATATTGAAGACACAAATATACATTTATATACATACATATGCACACCCACATATCCACTGGAAAACCAGATACACTTGCACGTGAGCATCTATTTACATACAAAGGAACATCTGTACAGTTGCTCTATGTATACTAACATGCAAGCAGCCTGGGTAGCAAAGTGGATTACAAACTAGGCTGCTAATCTCAAGGCTAGTAGGTAGACTCTACCAGTTGCTTCTAGGGAAAAAGATGAGGCTTTCTGTTCCTGTAAAGATTTACAGCCTTGGAAACCCTATGCAGGGTCAGTATGAGTCAGAACATGACCACCACCACCGCCACACAAACAGGCATGTGAAAGTTGGACAATGAATAAGGAAAACCGAAGAAGAATCGATTCATTTGAGTTAGGGTATTAGGGAAGAATATTAAAAGTACCATGGACTGCCCGAAGAACAAACAGGTCTGTGTTGGAAGAAATATAACCAGAATGCTCCTTAGAAGCCAGGATACTTTGGACATATTACTAGGAGAGACCAGTCCCTGGAGAAAATTGAGGGTCAATGAAAAAGAGGAAGATCCCCAACGATATGGATTGACATGGTGCCAGTGGCAATGGGTTCAAATGTAACAACAATTGTGAGGATGACACTGGACTGGGTAGTGTTTTGTTCTGTTGTGTATAGGGTCGCTAGGAGTCGAAATTATCTCAACAGCACCTAATAACCACACACAATTATCTGGACTAAGTTACACACAAACACCTTCACACATACCCTGTTATGGATTGAATTGTGTTGTTCCCCAAAATACATGTTGAAGTTCTAATTCCTGTTCCTGTAAATGTGATAGTGTTTGGAAATGAGGGTTTTCTTTCATTATGTTAATGTGACACAACAGGACAGGCTGGGTCCTAAACCTAATCACTTCTGGACCTTCAAAATACAGGTCCGCGTCCACTCGACACATGTTAAAAACACAGATATACACACGTACACACACGTCCCATTACACTCACACCCTCATATGCACACGCTTGTTGCGTTGTTGTTAGACGCTGACGAGTCAGTTCAGACTCACGGAGACCCTTTTGCACAGCAGAACAAAACACTGGTCTTGTGCCATCCTCACAATCGTTGCTAAATTTGAGTACACATGTAGACGCCCTCAAGTGCACTCACCCAAGTTCATTCATAAATGCACACACACAGATGCCAACAGAGACACACTCACTCGCACCATCACACACATAATCAGAAGCAGGTGCACTATCTGCTGGCCTGGAATCACAGGCCCGCGCGCACGCAGAAGGTTATTCTCTGCGGTGCACACACACGTCCACTAACAGAGGTACGCTCATCCTCGCCGGTGTCACACGCACACACCCAGACGCACGCACACGCCCTCCCCTTCCACCGGCCTTCTCCGCAGTGCGGGCCCCGCCCAGCCCGAGCCACCGACTGGGGGCGCACGCGGTGGGGAGAGACGGACCGACTGGACTGCCCAGGCTGCGGGGGCGGGGCACACCTGGGCTCCGCCCCTGGGCGGGACCGACGCAGCGTCCCGGCGCAGCGGCCGCACCTGGCTCGGCTGTAGTGGTGGCGGTGGCGGCAGCGGCGGGCCGGCGGAGCACCAGCGCAGCGGCGCAGCGCAGCCCGGCATAGCGCCGCAGCCCCGGCGGCGCCATGGTGGAGGCGGCGCCCGCAGGGCCCGGGCCATTGCGGAGGACCTTCCTGGTGCCGGAGATTAAGTCACTGGACCAGTACGACTTCTCGCGGGCTAAGGCGGCGGCCAGCTTGGCGTGGGTGCTGCGGGCCGCGTTCGGGGGCGCAGGTACCGGGGCGCGCGGCAGGTGCGGGGGGCGGGGCGCGCCGGGAACAATAGCGCGGCCGCGGGCTCCGGGGCCGGGACCGCCGCTTCCTCTGGGCTCCACTGGACTTTGCCCGCCGGGCGGCCGAGCGCGGTGGGGGTGGGGCTGGCGCCCCGGCGCGGCTCCGGGTCCCAGCGGCCTGGCCCCAGGTAAGCGACGGGGTCCGCGGGCCGAGGGGGTCTCAGGAGCTCTGCAGCCTCCTCCCCACCCCCAGCCTCACACACTCAATCACGCGTCCTCACCGGAGGGCCTTAGACCCTCTGGCATGCCCCCGGCTCCGTCACAAACCCGCACGGCCTGGGCTGCAGATGCAGCCCAGCAGTTCTTTGGGCCCCGTGTCGCCTCTATGGCTCCTGCCGGCCCTTGGCAGGGGTGAGTGATCGCCTCATGTTAGCTCAGGAGAAGGGAAGGGGCTGGTCCAAGATCACTGGGGGCGGATGCCGCTCCTTGCCCCTGGGCAGGGAGATGCGAGGCCTTCCGCCCTGGGGGAATTCTCCACTCTTTTTGGAGCTCCTAACCCCAGTACCACCCTAATATGAAAGATGAGGGAGGGTCCCTGGATTAGAGGCCTTCCCTTGGGCTGCCCCAGGCCAGAGAGAACTGGGAGCCCAGGCTGGCCCTGGGGAAGGCAGGGGTTAATTAAGGTCTGGGCTTTCTCGGGAGCCCTGGGGGGACGCCCTGCTCTCCCACTGGGCCTGGCACAAACTGGGCACAGTCCCTCCCCACTCCAGTGGCCCTCCCAGATCAACCTGTTCTGGGTGTGGGTCTCAGTGACAGCTGTCCGGCTCCTGGTTCCGCCCAAGCCTGTTTCTTTCTCTTTCTCCCAGTCTCCTTTCCAATGGTCTCTCATGTGAGGCCCACTCTGGTTAACTACACACCCGCCAGAATCTGCCTGAGAAAGAAAGGGGACTGTGAGGGGACCCAGGACCACCCCAGCCCCTCACATCCCAGGTAGCTAAGTGTGACAGGATTTGGGTGTCAGTGTGGCTTTGTGCCCCCCCAAATATGGTCTCAGGTCTCCCAGTTTCCTGTATTTATCTGGTCTGTAAACGTGGGGGCACCCAAGTGTGGCAGGCAGGCAGGCTTCAGGCCATTGTGATACCTTCTTTCCAGGGTTGCCAGGAGGGGTGAAATCCTCCACCCTGTGTCTGGAATCCAAAACACACTGAATGGATGCTGTCAATTGCTGCTGGGATTTTTGTTCATGTTTTTGGGAACATTAATATTGTTCACGTTCCCTTGGCCGAGGGGAACAGCCACAAATGCAGTTCCGTTTCGTATAGAGGTGCCCTGAGGGGTGTTGATAAGATCTCAGATACCCTTGAGCCTTGTGGAATCTGCTCTCACTGACCCACAGCGCCAGTCCCACCTCTCACCTTCCCTAAATGGAGGGCTGAGGAAGTGGAGACACCAGGTTCGGGGAGGGTGGTGAGGCCAGAGCTCTGCTAGGACCGTGAACTCGGGGGGCACTGGTGTTGGGCTGGTGCTGGGAGCTCAGGATGGGGGACAGGGCAGATCCTCTTGGATCAGAGGAATAAGCTGCTTAGAGTGGTCAGTGCCTAGAGGGCCCAGAGGTGGAAATCTTTTAAATCTTTCAGGGAAGGGAGGAGAAGGCTCCCCGGTGTGGGAGTGGTTTGGGCCTTGAAGGGTACATAGGAGTTTGCCAAAGGGAGGGGTTTGGGCCAACTGGGAGTTCTTGGAGAACAAGTAGGTCTCAATCTTCCTCCTGGCTATCTCGTGCGAAGCCCACACTTGGGCTTCCGTGCCATCAAGGATCTGCTTTTGAAAGAAAGGGGGCTGTTGGGGAGACCCAGGATGACCCCAGATGACCTCATATCCCAGATGGTGGTGCTAGAGGGTCTGGTTGTGGGGTGTAGTAAGCACTTGTGCAGTGGTAATAGAGGCTCCAGGGAAGGGAGAGTTCTGGAGGCTCTGAGGTGAGGAGGTTGTGTAGGAATGCAGGCAAGTGGGCTCAGAGATAAGAAAAGGTGCCCTCCTTGAACAAGTTTGGGAAACACCGCCTTACAGCCGATAGTGATGTGTGAGGGAAGGTGGGTGCACATCAGCTCTGCTAAGGTGAGCTTGCATAAGTCATCTCCCCTCTCTGGGCCTCGGTTTTCTCTCTGTAAAATGGGGATAAGGATTAGATGAGTGAAGGCACACAAGTTCACCGTTAGCTGTGTGATGTCAAGTCTGGGGGTTTCAGAGCCCAGCTGGTGATCCCTAGCAAGTGTATAAAATACACATCAGATCCCAAAGACTTGGCCAAGAAAAGAATATAACCTGTCTCATTAATAATCTTCATATGTGATCGTTGGGAAGCTGATTTTGCCAGGCCTGGTTTCTGAAGTGCCTCAGGGTGGATTTGAACCACCAACCTTTTGACTAGTAGTGTGTTATCCTTTTGCACCACCGAAGACTCCATTATTTTCCTGGGGGAGCTGAAACAAAATACCATACAACAAACTTCTTGTCCCAGTCCTGGAGGCCAGGTACCTGAATTCAGGACAAGGATGGCTGTTTCTGAAGGCTTAAGGGAGGGTCCTTCTTAGTGTCCTCCAGTTTCTGGTAGCCTCAGGCATTCTTGGTCTGTTGTTGTTTTTGTTGTTGAGTCTCTTCTGACTCATAGGGACCCAGTATAGGGTTTCCAAGGAGCAGATGGTGAGCTTGAACCACTGACCATGTGGTTCAAACTGAGCTTGCATTCCAGCGCATCAACCCACAGGTGATGTTAGCAGCATCATTCTCATCTCTGCTTCGGTCTTCCCGGGTCTCCGCCTCTTCTCTTTTATGAGGACACATTGGATTGGAGTCCCTGAGTGGTGCAGTTGATTAAATATTCAACTATTGATCGCAAAGTTGGTGGTTTGAACCCACCCAGAGGCACCTTGGTGAGCTACTTTCCTGAGATCACAGCCATTGAGAATCCTCTGGATGCAGGTCTGTTTGACACACCTGGGGTCACCATGAGTCAGATAGAATCCACTGCATAGCAACTGGTTCACTTGGTTCATATTGGGTTAAGACTCACTTGGTGCGCTGTAGGATAAGCCCTCAACCAGAAGGTTGGCTAGCTGTTTCTCAGAAGCCCTATACAGAGTCGTTATGAGTGGGAACCTACTTGATGTCACTTAACAACACAATGACAACTACAGTACAAGTAAGGAAGACAAGATGAATTGGCACAGTGGCAGCATCAATGGGCTCAAACCTAACAATGATAGTGAAGATGGTGCAGGGGCAGGCAGTGTTTCATTCTGTGTGCCTAGGGTCTCTATGAGTCAGAACCAACTTGAAGGCGCCTCACAACTGTAGTATGAGCTCATTTTAACTCAACTGATAAACGTCTTTAAAGACCCTCTTTCCAAACAAGATCACATTCATGGGCACAGGGCTTCAGATCTCTTAGAGGGGAATAGAACATGGCTCACAATAGTCACAGAAGCCATCTTGGGGGCTTATCTAATTCCCAGGGTGCTCAGATAAGCCATCAGGAGCCCCACATCGAAGAGGCAAGTAGTTATGGTTATGAGGAGGCAGTAGCTTGGCTGCCTGGAGTGAGAGAAAGCCAGGAGATGCCGGGGTGTAGGTGGGGGGAGGTTCCGGAAGACTGCTGTTTCTGGCACACAGCCCAAATGAGATACACAGGCATACAAATATGCCTTGGCTGGTCACTGCTGGCCTTGGGCAGGTCGGGCACGAGGAAGGGAGCCCAGAGAACACGTCTTCCAAGGAGCTGAGCTGAGAGGGGTGGGAGAAGGCACAGATCTTCAGGGAGTGGGGCATCACTTAGGAGGGCAGGTGTGATTTTAAGGTATGGGGAAGGAGCCTACGGAGAGAGGGTCTGGAGCCTAGGAGCCCTGGGTCCTCAGGTGTTACGAGGCTGGAATTAAAGAACGCTGGGTCCTCAGGTATATTTATATGAAGGGGTGACCTAGGAAAGGGTTGGGGAGTCGTGTTCCAAGAATTTTTTTAAGCAAATATACCACCACCATCACCTGGCAACCAACAGATTGCAACTCATAGGGACCCCGTGTGTGCCAGAGAATTTTCAAGGTTTGACTCTTTGGAAGTAGATTGCCAGGCCTTTCTTCCAAGGTACCCCTGGGTGGGTTTGAACCACCAACCTTTCAGTTAGCAGCCGAGTGTGTGGGCCACCCAGAGACTCCTCCTTTCAAACATACATAGAGCGTCCATAGATACAACAGCTGTTCTGATTGAAGCAAGAAGAGAGTGGGGAGCCTCCCCGAGGTCCCTGTCTCCCTTTTGAGAGGTCTCCCCATAAGGACAAGTCCCGTCCGTCCCCAGGGCAGTTGTTGGCCTGTCACCTCCTCCCCATCAACCTGGCAGCTCTCTCTGTCTGGCTCCCCCTCAAGCCTGGGTCCTGCTTGGCACCCTGCCATGCTTCCACGTAGAGCTTCCTGCCTCCTCGCCCTGGCCTGCTCACCCAGGGTTTTCTGGCTGTTTCTCTATTATGCCCTCACCTTCTAGGCCCCACTGCCTTCTTCCTTTGCCTCCTGGATGATACCCCGTCTCAGCCACCATACCCTGCTCCATGTTCTCCTGCAGATCTTACAGGCTGGGGTGCCTTCTCCCATCAGTTCCCAGTTCAGTCCATTCAACCCCTCAAAGCAAGCCTCTACGCCCCAGCCACACACTGAGAGAGACTTAGATGGGCCCAGTGGGTGTGAGCCTCAGTTTCCTTATCCCTGAAGCCGTGTTAATGATAGCCCGGACCACTTTGGCAGCTTCCTAAGGTCCTTGTGAGGCTCAGAGATAGCAGTGACTCAATTTGTTATTATTTTTTCTTCACAACCGACCAAGCTTTCTGAGAGGCTTTCCTAAGGAGTAAATCAGGACCCTCTGTCCCCTACAAGATCCCTCCTTACCCAGTCAGCCATGAGACTTCCCTTGGGGGCCATCGTGCCGTGTTTCGTGGCCACCAGCGTGTTCAGTCCAGGGACATCTACTTAACCAGCATGGGCACCTGCCCGAGTCCAGGCCATATAGTTGGACCGGTAGGGGGGCCCATAGGACCAGGACTAGGGAGGGTCCCACATGGGGCTGTGGCAGTCCATCTTGCCCCTGACAGACCGGGCTCCTCTCCACCCCCACAGATCACGTGCCCCCGGAGCTGTGGGAACCCTTCTACACGGACCAGTATGCGCAGGAGCATGTGAAGCCCCCGGTGACGCGGCTGTTGCTCTCGGCTGAGCTTTATTGCCGGGCCTGGCGCCAGGCGCTGCCTCAGCTCGAAGCGCCCCCTAGTCCCTCGGCGCTGCTGGCGCTGCTGGCACGGAAGGGCGTGGCGCCCGCTCTACCTGAGCGCCCAGTGCGAGAGGCCGACCTGCGGCACCAGCCTATCCTCATGGTAGGTTCCGCCCCGCCCACCAGGTCAGGCTCCTCCCCCTTAAGACCCTAACCCTGGGGCTTGTTGTCGTCGTTGTTAAGTGCCGTTGAGTCTGTTCCGACCCATAGCGACCCTGAACAGAGTTCCCGAGGCTGTAAATCTTTATGGGAGCCGAAAGCCTCATCTTTCTCCTGCTAGAGCAGCTGGTAGTTTCGAACTGCTGTCCTTGTGGTTCACAGCCCGATTCGTAACCAGTACGTTACCAGAGCTGGCAGGTTTCACCGATGACCTTGGAGTTAGTGGTCCTCTGGTAGCGTAGTAGTTACGAATTGGGCTGCGAGCCTCAAGGTCAGTAGTTCGAAACTACCAGCTGCTCCGCGGGAGAAAGATGAGGCGGTCTGCTCCCATAAAGATTTACAGCCTCGGAAACCCTGTGTAGGGTGGCTATGAGTCGGAACCGACTCCACGGCACATAACAACATCTACAGTGCCACACCAGGACCTGAAAGCCTGATTTCTCCAAGACTCCTCCCACTAGACCTTGCTCCTCCCTGCGAGGCCCCGCCCCACCTGGTCAGGCTTTTAGCCAGTTGTCTGGCTTCCTCCAAAAGCCACTTTCTCTGAGGCCCCTCCCACCAGGCCTGGCTCCTCCCCAAGGGCTCTCTTTTCTAAAAGGACTGGTCTATGCGACCTATCAATCATAAAAGCACAGTATTTGGCCTCGAGCCCCGCCCACCAGGCTTGGCCCTTTAGGGGACCTTTATCCAGCCAGGTTCCTTCCCACTGGCCGCGCCCCTGAGGCCCAGCCCTTCCCATGCTACCCCTTTACGTTCCTGCTCCGGTCTCACGCTTGAGTCCTTGCTCCCAGAGTGCCCACCTAGCTGTCATCGATGCCCTCATGGTTGCCTTCGCCTTCGAGTGGACGAAGACGCTGACCGGCTCCTTGGCCTTGAGTGGCTTGGAGCATAAGCTACTCATCTGGGTGGACTCGGTAGGTGGGATCCGGCCCTGGTGGTCTGGGAGGCAGTGTAGTCTTGTGACAACTGAGCGCTGACTTCTACCGGGACTTTCTCCCATCCCCCAGACTGTCAGGCGGCTACAGGAAAAGACAGAGCAGGAAGCAGTCCAGCGTGCATCGCCTGCAGCCCCCACAGACGGGGTGGCCCCAGTGCAGCCGTCGGTGAGACATACAGACAAGGGCAGGGTGGGCAGGGTGGGGCTGTGCCTCATGTACCTTTCCTGCCATGGGTGGGCTGCTGGTGACTCTCTCTCTCTCTGTCCCCCTTCTCCCACCTACCCTTTGCGCTCTCCTCTCTGCCTCTCTGGCCTCAGTGCCCCACACGCTGGTACTGGAAGCTGGTTCCTGTAAGTGGGGCTGTCTACCTGCCCCGTCTGCCTGTCTCACGTCGCTGTTTGTGTCTTGTGTTTGCCTGCCTCTTAGAGCCTCCTACTCCTGCTGCTTCCCAGCTATGAGCATAGGATTGGGGCCCAGCCCTAGGGGTTCTTTATTTGTTAAAAAAGAAACGAGTCACACCATGAACCAACAAGCTGGATGATGCTCCCACCCTGTTAATTAAGAGAGCAGACCCCCATCGCTTATTCCCTTTAGCTGATCTCCCCAACTCATTAGACCATGGGAATGTGACCCCAATGAGCAGGGCACGTAGGAAAGGTTCCCCAACCCCCATTCCCCCCCAGCCAAGAGAAAGACTGAAATATGGAAGGTGTATAAGACTCTGTAACTGAGAGTCTAGCTTCCCTAAGGGAGCAGCACCTTTGGGAACCTGACCAGGGTTTCTAAGCCCATAAGTTAGGGGGAGGGTCTCTGCCTCTGCTCGTGCCTGGGCTCCTTCCCCCACATCCTGGGGCCTGGGTTGGGGGTCCTCTCCTGCCTACCTGCTTCCCATGCATCCTTTCCCTGAGCTGGGGGCCTGGGTCTTTTGTGGGGGGTTTGCCTGCACGGGGGGCTGCTCTTGGGGGTCCCCACAGCCAGCCAGAGCACGGGTAGGGAGCTGGACAGCCGGGGCTCAGGACAAGTGAAAGGACTCTCCCTCCCTGGAGTTGGGCTTGGGGCCCCAGCAAGTCAGCCCCCCTCCTGCCCGGCTGACAGCTGCTCCTCTCCCCCCAGCACGCAATTGCCTTCTGTTTGAAGGAGTCGGGGAGCAAACCCCCCATGGTAACGTATCCCCCGCCCTGGGGTCCCAGGTGTCCCTGTCCCCAGACCCCGCTGCTGGCCTGGCTGTTCGCAGGCTCCGCCTCTGCCTCTTGCTGCTGCCCCTTCCCCGCTCCAGGCTGGCCCCCCCACTCTGGCTCTGGGACCCCCGGCTTCACGCCCCCTCGTGGCGAGAACCCCAGGCCTCTCCGCCCAGTCTGCACTACCTCTGACCTAGGGGACCAACCCCACCCCTGATCTGACGTGGCTCTCACCTTCATGTAGATCCGGTACCGCAAGGACCGAGCTGTGGCCCGACGAGCCCCCTGCTTCCCGACGGTGACTGGTCTCCAAGACCTGGCTAGTGGGGCCGCACTGGCTGCCACTATCCATTGCTATTGTCCACAGCTGCTGCGACTTGAGGGTGAGTGGATGGGCTCAAGCCAGAGCTGGTGTCCCTCAACCCAGATCCACACACCCATGCTGCTGGGAGGCAGAATGGTGGCATAGTTATAGGTGGAGCTTCAAAGTAGGCACCCCTGCACTGAGATCTCTTTTCCTTTAATTAGCTGTGTGACCTTATATAAGAGGCTCAACGTCTCTGAACTTCTAGAACTCAGTACTACAACTAATACTGATTTAGTGCCTACTGAGTGTCAGCCTCCAGGCGGCAGGAAAGCCAGAAAGCTTCTGTCTGTACAGTGTGGTTGTTAAGTCCCCCCAAAGGGCGGTGGATGATCAGGAAAGGGGTTCCCGAGCTGGTAACTTGAGTTGAGGCCTACAGAAGCCAGTTCAGGGGGGCTAGTGTTCTGGGAGGGAGATATAGCAGGCACAAAGGTCCTAGGGTACAGTCTCCAGGGCCTTCCAGCAGTACCCATCCACCTCACCAAGGGACGCCCAGCTTGGAGGAGGTCCTCCATGGATGGTGGCTGCTGGTGTCTTTGCTGCTGGGCCCTCAGAGTCGGGGGCCTCGGCCTCCTCTTCCCGCAGAGGTCTGCCTCAAGGACCCCATGTCAGTGGCAGACAGCCTATATAACCTCCAGCTGGTGCAGGATTTCTGCGCCTCCCGCCTCCCACGTGGCTGCCCCCTGTCCCTGGAGGACCTGCTGTATGTCCCCCCGCCCCTCAAGGTGAGGCCATCCTGGGGTCTGCAGGGCTGGGGTGGGTGTCCTGAGCTGTGGGGCCTGGTGGCTGACCCTGCTCCCACCTCCAGGTCAATCTGGTGGTATTGCTGGCTGAGATGTTCATGTGCTTTGAGGTGCTGAAGCCCGACTTTGTGCATGCTGTGGACCTACCCGACGGGCACGGTGAGGCCCAACCCTGGGGACAGGTGGGGTGGGGTGGCCTGGCCAAGACTGACCCCTTCTCTGTCCACAGCTGCCTCTCCCCGAGGCACGGAATCCTCCTCTCCCCAAAACCGCAGTGGCAGCAGGTAGGGTTCTTCCTCCTTCCCACCCCTCCACCCAGTTCCATGCTGGGGCGGGGCTGGGAGCTCTGTCCCCTGGGAGAGACAGAGTGGGGTTGTCCCATAACTGACGAGGGTTTCTTGGCAGTTCTCCTGTCTTCAGTTTCCGCCACCCACTCCTGTCACCTGGTGGCCCCCAGTCCCCACTCCGTGGATCTACAGGTGAGGAGGTGGAGGGAGGTTCTGTCATTGGGGGGGACCCTACCTGACCAGACAGCCCAGCTGACCTGTCCACTGGTATCTAACTGGTACTCAGTGATGGCCCCAGCTGTGTTTCTGGAAACCTCTGGTCTGAATAGAGCACATAATGACCCAGCAGTGACTCGCCCAGTGACACCTGGGCTGCCCTCACAGTGACCACTGAGTGACCACTGCCTGTCCCCCCCAGGCTCTCTGCAGTCCTCCCCGTCCATGTCCCACATGGAGGCCCTGGGCAAGGTCTGGAACCGCCAGCTCAGGTGAGTGCTGTTGAGGGGCGGGTGCTGGGAGGGTGGGGCCCACATGCATCCCTGGGGCTGACCCCTCCCTCTGGCCTCCCAGCCGTCCCCTCTCCCAGGCTGTGTCGTTCAGCACCCCTTTTGGCCTGGACAGCGACGTGGATGTTGTCATGGGAGACCCGGTCCTGCTCCGCTCTGTCAGCTCAGACAGCCTGGGGCCCCCCCGCCCTGCACAGGCCCGGTCACCAGCGCCACCCCCCCCAGAGCCTGGAGACCTGCCGACCATCGAGGAAGCCTTGCAGATCATACACAGTGCTGAGCCCCGGCTCCTCCCGGATGGGGCCGCCGATGGCAGTTTCTACCTCCACTCCCCAGAGGGGCCCTCAAAACCCCCGCTGACCTCCCCCTATCCACCTGAGGGGGCCACCAAAACCCCCACCTATCTGTCTCACCCTGAGAGTCCCTTGAAATCATCTTCCTGCCCGGTTAGGGAGGCATTGAAACCCCCAGCCCTCCATGAGGGGTCTCCTAAGGCAGTGGCTTCGTCCCCAGCGGCCACCAACTCTGAAGTGAAGATGACCAGCTTTGCTGAACGCAAGAAGCAGTTGGTGAAGGTGGAGGCGGATGCTGGTGGGGGCGCCCCAGCGGCCTCCCCGGCAGCCCCCGAGGCCCTGAGCTCAGAGATGAGCGAGCTTGGTGCCCGACTGGAGGAGAAGCGCCGGGCCATTGAAGCACAGAAGCGGCGCATCGAGGCCATCTTTGCCAAGCACCGCCAGCGCCTTGGCAAGAGCGCCTTTCTGCAGGTGCAGCCGAGGGAGGCGGCTGGCACCACAGTGGACGAGGATGCTGGAGGGGAGGTGGAGGCTGGCCAGGGCCCTGGTGGGGAGCGACCAGCTGGCGAGGGCCAGGGCGACCCATCCCCACGCCCCAAGGCAGTGACTTTCTCACCAGAGTTGGGGCCGTTGCCCCCTGAGGGCTTGGGGGACTACAATCGGGCGGTCAACAAACTCAGTGCTGCGTTGAGCTCGCTGCAGCGAGACATGCAGAGACTCACGGACCAGCAGCAGCGCCTCTTGGCCCCCCATGAGGCCCCTGGGCCCTCCTCGCCTCCTGCTGCCTGGGTTATTCCTGGCCCCACCACAGGCCCCAAAGCCTCATCCCCCAGCCCCGCTCGCCGGGCCTCAGCCCCCCGTCGCAGCCCTGGACCCGGCCCTAGTCCAGCCCCTCGAAGCCCAAAACATGCACGACCGGCAGAGCTGAAGCTGGCACCCCTAACGAGGGTGCTCACGGCCCCCAACGATGTAGACAGCCTCCCTCACCTGCGAAAGTTCTCACCGAGCCAGGTTCCTGTGCAGACTCGCTCCTCCATCCTCCTGTCTGAGGGGACGCCCCCTGAGGAGCCCGCGGCCCGACCCGGCCTCATTGAGATCCCACTGGGCAGCCTGCAGGAGCCTCCCGCTGAGGATGAGGGAGATGGGAGCCCTCCTGGTGCTGAGGATTCCCTGGAGGAAGAGGCATCTTCGGAAGGAGAGCCCAGGGCTGGGCTCGGGTTTTTCTATAAGGTGAGAGTCACCTGTGAGGGCGAGAGAAAGGTGTGAAGAGAGCAGAGGGTAGGGGGTTTGAGGATAGACTGGGTGGCTGCCCAGATGACTGGAAGGTGTGCTGCTATAACAAATACCACAAGTGAGTGGCTTTACCCATAAAACAGTAAACCGAAAATTTGTTTTCTAACAGTTAGGAGGCTAGAAGTTGAAATTTAGGTGCCAGCCTTTTTCTGTCTGTGTCAGCTCTGGAGGAAGATCCTTGGGTCTTGGCTTCACGTGGCATGGCATCTGTCCTCTTCCTTGCACCTTGTGCTTCTTTGCGCCTAATCTGTTCTGTTTTATCTCTGGAGAAAAGAATTTAAGACACACACCCTACATGCCTAATTATGATGCCAAAGAAAATCCGTTCCCGTTCCCAGATGGGGTTATGATCTCAGGTGGAGGGGTTAACATCCTGGAGCACAGCTATTTTGGGGACACATTCAATCCATAAGAGATGTGTAGGCCCTGCTGAGGGGAAGGGTGAATAAGTGGGTAGATAGTGGGGTGGGTACACAGGGTGGTACATGCTGTGGATGATGGGCATGAATAGCTGGGTGAATGGGTAGGCTGATGGATGGGTGGACAGGTGGGCAGATGTAAAGGTAGGTGGGTGTGGTGGATGGAAGTGGACCTACAGACAAGGCATGGGTGGCCAGATGGATAGCTGGGGGAATGTCTGAATGGGTAGATGGAAGGTGGGTGCACTGAGGGATATGGAGGCATATGGGGGACTGGAGAGCTGGTTGGATGGGGTGGTAGTGGACGGATGGCAGATTAACAACTAGGTGGGATGGGTGAATGGGTGGGTAGGTGGGATAGACAGACAGACGTGTGGGCGGTCTCTGCATAGTTGGTCAGATTGACAGCGCTGGGTGATGGGTGGATGAGGGTGATAAACATAAATGTTGGCAGATGGACAAACAGGTGTGGCCATGTGACATCTCTTTCCTCCACCCTGCCCCATCTGTCTGACCCTGTCCCATATTTCCCTCATCTCTCCATCCGCATAGCTCCCCAACCTGGGCCACCATCATCCCTCACCTGGCTGCCTGCATTGGCCACCTCCTCATTGGTTTCTGTTGCTACTGTCCCATCCCCCTTGCCCATTTCCCACTGAGCTGCCAAGAGATTTAAAAAAGTATATATAAATTGGATCTGTCTTGCCCCTGCTTAAAAGCCCTGTAATCTCCTTTCCCCTTTGGTCTTAGCATGAACATGCTACTTTCCCCCAGGGCCTTGAGCTCTGTGTGGTCTGACCTCGTTCTGGGCATCATCCTTCACACACACACACACACCCACCTCGCTGTGCACTTCAGACACACCAGCAGCCAGGCTGTTCAGGCCCTACTGGACTTGTTCAGGCCTCAGGACCTCAGCACATATGATTCCTCCTGTCAGGAGGACTCCTTTCTCCTCAGCTATACCCACTCAGCATCTCTGGTCATCCTCCAGGGATGCTTTCTGGAGGAAGCATCTCCCGGTGCCCTCAGATGAGGACAGGCCTTTTCCCCAGGGTCGACCAGCAATGCCACGTGTTTTCTCCTTGCTGTTTGCCACTATCTGTATGATGTTTTGTCATCTCTCGGTGGGTTAAGACTGCATAGGCAACATTCAGGTCTGCCCTGGTTCTGAATGCATCAAGTCAACCCCAACTCATGGCCACCCCATGTGGTGTGCCAGCATAGCACTCTGCTCCATAGGGCTTTCAGTGGCTGATTTTTTTCTGAAGATCACCAGACCTTTCTACCGAGGTGATTCTGGATAGACTTGAACTTCCAACTCTTTGGTCAGCAGCTGAGTGTGTTGGCTGTCTGTACCCCCCAGGTTCCATCTGTGTCTCAGTTCCCCATGTAGGACTGTACATCAACTGAATCCCTTGCTGTTCAGTTGTTTGTGACTCATGCTGACCAGACCCCATGTGTTATGGAGTAGAACTGTGCTCTGTTGGGTTTTGTTGGCACGAGGAGCCTGGTGGCAAAACACTTCTGTGTCTGTCTACTAGCCGAAAGAGTGGGCTTTTGAATCTACCCAGTAGCCTCATGGGTGATCTGCCCCTGTAAAGATGAAAGCCTCAGAAACTGTGTGGGGCAGTTCTCCTTGGTCACATGGGCTCGCCATGAGTCGGTACGGACTGGATAGCGGCTGACAGTGACGGTATCCTAACAGAAGTAGATGACCAGGCTTGTCTTCCAAGGTTCTGCTGAGTGGGGTCAAACTGCCCAGCTTTGGGTTACCAGTGGAGTGCTAGCAAAAGGCAGACAAAAGGCACCAATTCAGTGCCTGTTGGACAGTTGCATAAACAGAAGTGCAGTTGGGCATAGAGACGGTAGCCATGGACTTGGCATCTGCCCCCAGGATGAAGACAAGCCCGAGGACGAGATGGCGCAGAAGCGGGCCAGCCTCCTGGAGAGGCAGCAGAAGCGGGCGGAGGAAGCACGGCGGCGGAAGCAGTGGCAGGAGGCGGAGAAGGAGCAGCGGAAGGAGACCGCTGCCCGGTGAGGCTGGTGACCTATGACCCTGGTGACCTCTGACCTGGTGACCCCTTGAGCTGTCTGACCACCCCCTCGATCTGCAGCCTGGCCCAGGAGGAGGCGACAGCAGCCCTGGCAGCTCCCATAGTCCCCGTGGCCCGGGCCCCAGGCGAGGAGGAGGTGGGCGCCCGAAGGGGTGAATTTACTAGGCTGGAATATGAGCGCCGAGCCCAGCTGAAGCTGATGGACGACCTGGACAAGGTGCTGCGGCCCTGGGCAGGGGCCGGGAGGCCGAACCGGGGTGGACGGAGGGCCCCCCGGCCTCGCTCTGGCTGCTGCGATGATTCAGCCCTGGCCCGAAGCCCTGCCCGTGGCCTGTTGGGTGAGGACGTGGGACAGGGGCAGCCTGTAGGGCTGGCTTTTTAGTGGGGCTTCACCCTGCCTGTTGGGAGTGGGGAGGAGACTGAGGGGTGTTGGGCAGGGCTAGCCCAGAGTTACCCCCACAGCTTTATAGGCGAGGAGGCCCCTCTGGTACATGTGGGGAGGCGTTTTGGATGGGAATTGACCATATGCCTTCCCCTTGGCTTGCTGGGAAAATCTTTCCCGGTTAATGTGTTTGGCTGGTAACTGAAAGGTTTGAGTATGGAATCAAGTCCAGGTGGGCTCTTTAAGAGAACTCAGCCACTAAAAACCTGTGGAGTGTGGTTCTATTCGGACACCTGTGGTGTTGGTGTTGCCATGAGTCAGCATTGATTGGACAGCAGCTGGTTTTGGTAGGGGTTCAGTGTGCTGAGGGGACTTCGGCAGGCCTTTGGATACTGTGAAGGCTGACCGGTTCCCTCTGCTTCCAGGCTCTCGGCTCAGCAAGGTCTACTCCCAGTCCACCCTGTCACTGGCCACGGTGGCCAACGATGCCCCCAATAACCTCGGCGTGAAGAGGCCCATGTCTCGGTGAGTTTGTCCCCTGCAGAGGCCATGTGCTGGGTGGTTTCGGTCTGTGTGATGTAGCGAGTTCCTGACCGAGAGGACTGAGTGAACGTGTGGGAGGGGAATGTGCATGACTCTGCATCACCTCCCTCTTCGCAGTATTCTGGGCTTGCCTCTTTTTTGGTCACCCCCCAATGGCCCACCATCACCTCCCTCTTCGCAGTATTCTGGGCTTGCCTCTTTTTTGGTCACCCCCCAATGGCCCTGTCCGTGGCCAACCCCCTTCCCCCCACCACTACCACAGGGCTCCATCCCCGTCTGGCCTCATGTCCCCGAGCCGCCTGCCTGGTAGCCGGGAACGTGACTGGGAGAACGGTAGCAACGCCTCATCCCCGGCCTCGGTGCCGGAGTACACAGGTAGGGGGGCTTCAGGGGTGGGCCGTGGGCCCTGCCTGTCTCCTGCCCTACCTGATAACACCCTGTCCCCCAGGCCCTCGACTCTACAAGGAGCCCAGTGCCAAGTCCAACAAGTCCATCATCCATAACGCCCTTTCACACTGTTGTCTGGCGGGCAAGGTGAACGAACCTCAGAAGAGCCGTATTCTTGAGGTTCGCATGCGCCTGGGGCTGGGGGGCAGGGGGCTGGCTTGGTGGTCCCACCGGGCCGGCTGACCATTTCTGATGTGCCCCCCCCCCCCTGCCCCAGGAAATCGAGAAGAGCAAGGCCAACCACTTCCTGATCCTCTTCCGCGACTCTAGCTGCCAGTTCCGAGCACTCTACACGCTGTCCGGGGAGACGGAAGAGCTGTCTCGGCTCACAGGCTACGGCCCCAGGACCATCACGCCCGCCATGGTTGAGGGCATCTACAAGTACAACTCGGACCGCAAACGCTTTACTCAGATCCCCGCCAAGACTATGTCTATGAGCGTCGACGCCTTCACCATCCAGGGGCACCTCTGGCAGAGCAAGAAGCCCACAACTCCTAAGAAAGGTGGCAGCACCCCCAAATAGCCCTGCTACCCTGCAGGGGGACAGCTGGCATTCCCGGATCCTGCCTGTTTCCGACCATGGCTGGGTGGGGCTGGGGTCCCCACCCCCTGATCTGTGTCCTGTCCTGCTGCGGGGGGAGGGGCTGAGCTGGGAGGTTCAGGGACTTGGTGCTCGGCTCAGCCTCCCCCCCCATCTGAACTCCTTGAATAAAATAATTTAAACAGAGGCTGGTCCTTGTCTAAGCTACGTGGGGCTCCCCTCAGGCCTGTGGGCTCAGGTCTCTGTCGGCACTGCTGCCGGCACCTCCTCGGGGCACGTGGTGCGGCCTCTGCCCGCCTTCCTCACTTCCCCTCCTTCCTCAGCCTGACTGTTAGTATAGTATTGATCCTCCTGGTGCTTGGGAACTGAGCCAGCTTCTAGCTAGATCTGCTGCAGGTCTCTGTATCCAGTTGCCACCTTGGCATGACCACCTGGATGCCTTGGATACAGGCACCGTGACAGCTGAGAGCCGGGCTGAGCTCATGGCTGGCCTGTGGATGGGGTGCCACACCAAGCAGCTAGGTAGGACAGCTTCCCTAAGCTCTCCCCAATCTGCCTGTCTGACCTGATGCCTTCTCCTGACTCTTCCCCTCCGCAGTAAGCTCCTAAGACTTGAATCGGATTATGCCTCCAGATGCTTACTGTTTAGAGCCCATAATGGCTCAGAGTCTCTAATGGCTTCCCAGGGCTCAGGACTGAAAGCCACACCCCAGCCAGGCCCACAGACCAGTTCTGCCTCCTGGCCTTTGTCCAGCCTCAGCCCCTTGGGAGAGAAGGGTGTGCCAAGTTCAGAGAGCTGGACTCAGGCCAGAGCCAATCCAAAACTGGGGCTCTTTGACTCACCCTCTCCAGGGAGGGGGTGTCCCGTGTCCTGTCCAGAAGTGCCTTGCTGAGGGGACTGGGATGGGGGGTGGACAGGTCAGGCTTTAGTGGGGCAGAGGTGGAGGGGACCTGGGCAGGAGTTCAAGGAGCTTCTGGAAGGAACTGTCTCAGAGGCCTTGAGTGGCTGAGTGAGTGCTGGGCTGCTTAGAGCACAGAACTGGCTCAGCGAGGGGGGGCTGGGGGACGGCCCTGGCCTGCAGCCTGGCTGCCCCACCCCCTGCCCCAGCCAATCTCTGGAGTGGGGGTGGTGGGTCCCACAGGCACCTGGTGGCAAAAAGAAGGTGCAGGCCATGACTGATGTACAAAAGTGGGATTTATTGGGGAGGGGGAGGTGCTGGGGGTTAGTCGTCCTTCAGGCTCCCAAAGACAGCAGCCGGCACGCTTTGCTGCTCCAGCCGCACCTCTAGGGGGAGAAGCAGAGACGCCTGGTCACTCCCTGGCTGGCCTCCTGTCCCGCCCCCCCCACACCGCTGGCCTCTCACCCACCATTGGGCTCCAGGTCCATCTCCTCGTCGTCGTCCTCCTCCCCCAGCTCGATCTCCTCGGGATTGACCTGCTGAGCTAGCGCTGCCAGCTCCTCACGGGAGGCGTCACTCCTGGGGTGCAGGGAGGGTCACAGCGTCAGCGGGGAGCCGCCTCAGCACTTTCTGTCTTGTGTGTGCGGGGGGACCCAGCCCTACACCTCACCTCACAAAGAGGATCTTGCTCTGGGCCCGAGGGGGCTGGTCGCGCTCAGCCTCAGCTGCCAGCTGCTCTGCTCGCTGCTCTAGGAGCTTCATGTCGTCCATGCCGCTCTGCCCAGGGGCCAGGTCCGACACTGCGGGGTGGAGGGAGAGCCTCATCACACCCACCCATCCATCCACGTACATATCCAACTGCCCACCCACCCAACTCCGCACCCATCCTCCCGCCCAGGACTCGAGTCTCAACGAGTTTCTGGTTGGAGGTGTGGCTAAGGTGGACCCAGCTGCTCCCATACCATCAAGTCAAGGCTGGCAGAGGGACCGTGTGACCTGGGGGGGATGGAGGAGAGGCTGGCAGAGGTGAGGGCGGCGTGGCGGAGGCCTTGCCACGACTCACCAGTGCCTGTTGCGCTGCCCGACACCTTGAGCATCTGCGAGGCCATGAAGTTGACCTGCGTATTGTAGGTGGCCTGCACGCTGCGCCGGATGCGCAACATCTCGCGGATGGTGTCCTCGTTACCGTGCCGGACCTCAAAATCCTTCCACGTCTGCCAGAATGCCCCGGTAGTCTATGGGTGGGATGAGTGTGAGCCAGCTAGCCGCCAGTTGTGGCTCCCTTGTCCTTTGACCTGAGTCCCCCGCCACCCTCCCCAAACACCATGCCCACCCGGGGATCGCAGATCTGGGAGCAGAAGCTGTAGATGGCGCGAGCGCGGTCGATCTCGCCAAGCTTGCACTCCATGTCAGCAAAGCGCAGACACATCTCTCGGGCGTGCTCGTCCGACAGCACCTGGGCAGAGGCAGGTGTGGAGTATGAGGTGGAGAGAACGGGACAGGTTCCCAGCCTGGCCCACGGTGCCCTCGTCCCACTTGGGCACCTCGATGGCCTTCTGGTAGATGCTGCGGGTGTGGGTAACGCCGTAGATCTCGGCGGCTCGCTTGATGTAAATGTTGAACATGTCGTATTGCTGGGCAGGCTCCACAGCCCTGGTGGCGCGCTCGTACACAGCCATGGCATGTCGCGCCAGACCCCACTCCTCCTCCAGCTGTGCGTACAGCAGGTACAGGGCTGCAAGGGAAGGCCAGGGGCCAGCGGTCAGGGGCTGGGCCACAGCGCCTCACCCCACCCCAGGCTCGCCCGGCCACACCCCCCTCACTTTTGGCATATTTGGGAGGGCAGCCATCCAGCGCCTGCTCGAAGAGGTCCCGTGCCCGCTCCAGCTTGCGGCCCCCGTAGCGGGCAATGAATTTGGTCAGGTAGGTGCCCCAGATGTCCGACACGTTGGGCCACTTGAACAGCGAGATGCCACGCTCATAGGCCTGCCCAGGAATGGGGAGCCATCAGTCACGTGTACCTGGGAGCCCCAGCACCCAGGATGTCTTCAGGAGTCTGCTTGTGCTACTGAGCGCCCAGTAAACAAGTCCCTTCCTTGTCCTCTCCCCACTTGCCCCTCGTTATGCATGGTTGGGAGGGTCCATCTCCCTTAAGACACGCTAGGACCCCCAGGATGGGGGGGAATGGTTCACTGAGCACAAGGCCTGGCCCCAGCGCCCTGGGGAACAGCCCCGCACGCACGCACATACACGGCCTGCACACCGGTGGAGGGAACTCCGTACCATGCACACATGCACGTATGTAACCTGCCCTTACCTGTCCATCTGTGACGTCTCTGTAAGTGAATCCCACAGATGGGAATTTACCACACAGGTAACCCCCCCCCCACACACACAGAGGAAGGCCACCACCCCCACCTTGAAACTCTCTTCGAAGTATTTGTGTTCCTCGAGGAACATGGCGTAGTTGATGACGATCTGGGGCGTGGCGATGCGCAGGTCCAGGATGCGGTCGTACACGGCCTTGGTGGACTGTGGGGTGGGGGCGGGTCAGTGCAGGTTGGGGGCGGGACCCAGGCCCACCCCTCGGACAGCTCACCTGGAAGGTGCCGAGGCTCTCCTCCAGGTCGGCAAGCATAGACCACACCTTCAGGGATTTGTACACGCGGTTCTGCACAGGCTCCGAGCCATCGAAGTACTCGGCCCGGCGGGCGGGCAGCGCTGTCGCCTTCTGCAGGGACATGTGGAGACGCTCAGGGGGGCTAGCCCGGCAGCACACCCACACCTCCCAGGCCCAGGGGCCTCCATACCCGCAGCAGCCGCAGGGCCTGGTCGTAGTTCTCGTGCCGGAGCTCCAGCTCGCCGCACTCACACCACACGCTTGCCAGGTCATCCACCTGCTTGAAGTTCACCTTGGTGGCCTTCTCCAGGATGACTCGGGCCTGCAGGGCAGACCCCAGCTGAGGCCACGCCCACCTCCCAGAGAGCCTGGGCCCTCTGACCACAGACCACACTCATAAAGGCTCGACACGCATGCATCCCATGCCTGCACACACCACACGTGCACACATAGGAACACAGACATGCACGTGCGCCCATACACAGAGGCACATACGACGCGGCACTCACGTCATCCAGCTGCCCGTTGTCCTCATAAAACTTAGCGAAGGCGACCCACAGCGTGTGGGGCTTGCCCGTGGCTTTGAAGGGGTCCACTGTCTGCACAGCCTCAGTATACGTGTTGATGATCTGAGTGAGGCAAGGGCCACGTCAGAGGCGGGGGCGGGGCGGGGCGGCTCCAGGGGCGGGGTGGGGCGGGGCCGGCCGCACGCAGCACGCACCTCCCGGGGGCGGCCCTGGTGCAGCGCCACGCGCTTGTGCCACTCGTGCACGTGGTGGGGGTTCTGCCGCAGCAGGACACTGTTGAGTAGCAGGGGCCGCCGGCTGATGAGCTGCTCGAAGCGGGCCAGGCGCAGCTCTAGGTCTACGTCATCTGGGGGGTGGCGGGGGTGAGAGTGAGGACCTCAGCATGCGGCCAACTCCTTCAGCTCTCTGGGGGCCTCACTCCCCACGGCAACCCCCAAGCGCCTCTCAGTCCCAGCCTGGGCTGACCCAGCGGCACCCCGCCCTGCGCTCACCCTCCTCCTCCCGCCCCAGCTCCGAGGTGGTCTCCATCTTGGCAGCAATCATGCTCTCCTCAAACTGGGCGTAGCTGTCGAACACCTGCGTGAAGTCCCGCACTGTCATCACCGTCCGGATGGCTTCCTCGTACACGTCCCGGGCCTGCACAGGATGGGCAAGGACGCAGGTCTGCCTAGTAAGCACAGTTCTGGGTACCCACCAGGCCCAAAGCCCTCTCCCACCACCGGCTCTGGGAGAATTCCACACCAGGCTACAGTGTGGGGGGACTGAGACCCGTGTGTGAAATGTTTGGTGACCAGGACGGCCCCTCCACCAATGTGATGTACCCCAACTCCACCCCTTGCAGAAGCCTGAACCTCAGCCAATCCAGAGAGTCAAAAAGTGCCCCTCCTGCCTGTGGAGCTCTTCTCTCCTCCCATCACCCCCACCCCAGGATCAAGCCCTGCGCACCTTCTCAAAGTGGCCGCTCCGGATGTAGTAGTCGGCCAGTGAGCACCAGAGTTTGCCCAGCTGGTCGGTGAAGCGGGTGAGGCCCCCGCGGATGATGGCGTCCACATTGAGGGACTGCACCTTGTCCGGGTTCTGAGAGATGAGGTCACACAGCTCGTGCCAAAGCTGCGGGCACAAGACAGGGGTCTTAGCTTTGTGCCCAAGGGCCACAACTCGTGCATCGCACCCCATTGGCCCTCAGGACCACCTGGTAGTTGGACTTGCCAGCCTTGGACACGAAGCGTTCATCGTTGACCACGGTGGCCAGGCGCTGCGCAGCCTCATCCAGCCGGTCGCTTAATTTGAGGTACTCTATGTACTCTTCCGCACTCTCAGGACTCAGCTGCGGACCCCACGCCCACCGTCAGTGTGGCCAGGGCCATGTCGCCTGGCTCCCAGTCCACTCAGGGACTCCAGGACCTCTCACCACCCAGTCAACACTGTCCTGGCCAACAGTGGGCCCTGCCAACCCAGCTTTGACCCAGTGGTCCAGCCTTAGTCCCCACAGTGCGAACTAGTCCACGCTGATACAGCCTGACCCCAGTGATTTGGCCTCAGCCCCCTCAGTCCACGCTGGTCCAGCTGGGTCCCCAGTCCTGACTGGTCTGGCGCAGACTCTGATGGTGCAGCCTGCACAAGCCCCACCTCCACCCAGACAGCACTGGGTCCCAGCTTCTGAGAGGTTTCATGACATCTAACAGCCATTGTATGTTTGGGAACACTGCGCTCAGCCCCACCCATCTGAACTGGTGCTCAGCCTGGCCTGTGCCACGTCCCCACGGCTCCAGTCAGCTCGCCGCTGCGTCACTCCGGCTTAGTCACAGCTAGACTGGAAGCTCTGTGTGGGCAGAAGCTGTCCTACTCAGTCTGTGTTGCTAGCACCGTCTCAATGCCTGACTCGGAACAATCTGACTCAAGGCAACCCTAGGTAGGCAGAGTAGAACTGCTCCACAGGGTTTTTATGGCTGTGACCTTTGAAAGAGCCAATTGTTAGGACTAGGGAGGGCCTGTAGCAATGGTAGGTTTGGACTACCAACCTTTATGTTAGTAGTCCAATGCAAACCATGTGCACCATCCAGGGACCTTTCTGACCTGGAGTAGGTGTTAGCAAAGGAGCCTTAGTGAACTGGTTGAGCTCTCGGCGGCTGATGGAAACATCAATGGTTCGAACCCCTCAGCTGCTCCATGGAAGACAACTGAAGCAGTGTATTTTTGTAACAATTAATAGCCTTGAAAATGCTATAGGGCGGCTCTATTCTGTGTATCAGTATCAACTCTGACTGCGGGTTTGGTTTTTGGCACAGGTACTAATGACATTCTTTAGAAAAGTAACAAGTGACCCGCCCTTTCCTCACATCCTGTCTGGGAAGTAGCCTCCTATGTGACCCTAGAATCCCAGAGAGCCCCTTTTGGGGAGCTAGCCCAGGAAGCTGAGCTCACCTTGAGGAAACGCCGGTAGCCACGCACAGCCGTCTCCGGCAGCGGGTACGAGCGAAGGAAGCGCAGGTACAGGGGCCAGATCCGCGGGTGCTGTGTGATGGGCAGCGCCCGGAGGGCACGGTCGAAGGTGCGGCGGGTGTGTGTGACCCGTCCCTGGTCCATCAGGAACTGGCAATAATCAAGCCAAAGGCGTGGCATCTAGTGGTGTGGGAAAGGGCGGAAAGTCTGGGCTGCAGGTCCTGCAATCTGGCCACAACAATGCTAGATATCCCACAGCCCAGCCCAGGGCCTCTGCATCGATGCGGCAGGACTCCATCTAGAGCAGACCTAGGTCCAGCTGAGCATCTCATGCACACAGGCACCAGAGCTGTGACCCCCTAGTCCCTACTGTTCTGTGCCCTCCCTGGACTCTGAGCCTCAGCTCCTATGCAATGCTTAGCCCTGAGTACCCTGGGCCCACCCTGTGCTGTGTGAAGCCAGCTTCCTACCTTGTGCATGAACACAAAGGCCCTCTCGTGGCAGTTGTTGACATCTTCGTAAGCAGGGTCGGTCACACAGCGATGCTTTACCTGTGCCCGGCGCGCCTTCAGGTATCGATACCACAGCTTGTAGCTGAGAAGATGTTGGAGATAAGATACTGACTCATTGGCTTTATGGACCAATCCCCGCAAACCCTTCACCCTGCTATGGGGCAAAGGGGACTGGGATAGGGTAGGGGGAATACACTGGGGCATCAGGGGAGGTAGGGTGGTATGTACACACAGTGCTGGAATACAGGTTGGTCCTGCCAGGAGGGGACATGGTGGGAGGGGCAGCTGGAGCTGTTCCCACCTGCAAGGTAACAGCTTGAGCGCCCGCTCATACAGCTGATTGAGCCTGGGCTTTGGGGCACCCTGTTTGAATTCGATATAGCGAAGCCAGCATTTGACAGAAAACGGGTTCCGCATGATCTCCTCCTCGTATGGGAGGTCTTCTTCTTCCTGCAGGGTCAAGGAAAGGGGAGAAAAGAGTCTGTATGCAGAACTATACTGCATGCACTGGGCTCAGGTCCAAATTCCAGAACTTTCTCCAGATACCAAATCCCGCTACTCACTGTCTGACCTAAATCACAAGCCTTCTTAGACACCAGGGCCCTGGGCCAGATATCAGACCTCTTTCCTGATTAACCTGGCTTTTCGCAGATGTCAGGCAGCTTTTGCTACCACCTGACCCGGCAGCACCCCAGGCCCAGATGGACCTCAGCCATCAGGGCTTTCATCTGCCACGGTGTAGGTCAACGCTGCTCCAGAACTTGGATGCTGTTCTTGTTAGATTCCGACTCATTTACAACCCCATTTACAACAGAAAAAAAGCCACTGCCTGGCCTCAGGCCAGCCACACAGTAGTGCTGCTGTTTGAGCCCACTGTGGCAGCCCCTACGTCAATCCATCTCATTGAGGGTCTTCCTCTTTCTCGCTGACACTTGGACACAAGGCATTTATCTCAGAAGAGTTATGGGACAGGCACCAAATCTCTAACCTTGACACCATGAATCTGGTGAAGATACCAGGCTTCTGTACTCAAGACACCATGTCTTTGGCTCTTCATCATCCCACTGGCCGTGGCTTGCCCTAGCTCCATCCCAGATGCACATCGCCAGGTCTTTACTTCTAGGGCTCTGCCAGCCTTTACCCAGAACACCAACCCCCCGGGGCAGACCAGATCCTTAGCTGAACACCAGATTCCCAGCTCTCAGCTCTTTCTCTTTTCAAGATGCAGCTATCCAAATAGCTGCTCAGGACCCTGGTTTCCAACTCTGTTCAGGTCACCAGCCCTTTGGCCCTGACACCGAATCTTTACTCCTGATCAGCCTGTTTCGGTCATCACGATCTGGCCATAGGCCCGCTAGGGTACCCGAAGGCGACACAGCTCTGGCCTAGATCATCCGGCGGCCAGGTGTTGATACCCCGCGACACCAGGACCCCGGAATCCCCACGGAGGACACTCCCAGCCTCGCTGTGAACTCACGAAGACAAGGTCCGGCCGCTCGGGCCGCGAGATCGGCGCCATCACCACCATTTTCCTGTATCTCCAGATACAGGAGAGGGGGTCGTATGCTGATGACGTAATGATAAAGGTCCGCCCCTGAGCCAGTAACCTCGAATTAGCTAAGCTTCTCCGGATCGCTCAGCCTGCGTTGTTGACTTTCTCCAAAGCAGCGCCAACTACCGGAAGCCAGAGAAGGCGCTTCAAGATTACGTCATCCCAGGGCACACGGACCAATCATCTTCAAGAGAGAAGTCCGCGAAAAGCCAATGAACTGCTGCATTGGTGGAGTGTTGGCTTTGCCCAGAAGCGTCATTGGAGACGGGAGAAGCAGGATGGGGGTGAAGCTGGAGGTGTTTCGGGTCAGTGAGTTGGGAGCATGTGAGAGCTAGGCGGGAGGGTCTTCCTGGGTCTGAGCAGGAAGCTCTGAAAAGCGGGGAGAAACGGTGATTTGAGAAGGACTTGTACGAGAGGACGGAGCGCTGAGTTGGGAGGGCTCGGAGTAGGTTTGTCGGAATAGGGGGCTCAGTGAGGGGGTGTTGTGAGGAGGAGACTGTAAGAAGGAAGGCTTCAGACCCTCGGGGAGCTCCTGTCTCATAGGAACGGGCAGCGGGGAGCCTCTGATAGGGAGATGCTTAAATTCGGGAGAGGGGCATTTGAATAATAAGACCTGTTATCAGGTTTGAGGGATGCCACCGGCCTCTGCTGGTGTTTGTGTCTGAGATATATTGTTGTACTGCTTAGGTGCCATCGAGTCAATTCCGACTCAGAGCGACCTTACGCACAACAGAACCAACACTGCCCAGTCCTACGCCATCCTCATAATCGTTGTTAGCTTGAACCCATTGCTACTGCCACTGTGCCAGTCCGTGTCCTTGGGTGTCCTCATCATTTTTACTGACCCTCCACTTTACCAAGCATGATGTCCTTCTCCGGGGACTGATCCCTTCTGATAACTTGTCTGAAGTATGAAAGGTGAAGTCTTGCCATTCTGGCTTCTAAAGTACATTCTGGCTATGCTTTCAACACATGTGTTTGTTTTTCTGGCAGTCCACGATACTTTTAATATTCTTTTCCAATATCATAATGAAATACATCAGTTCTTTTACAGTCTTCTTGTTCATTGTCTAAATTTCACATGCGTATGAGGCTGTTGAGAATACCATGGCTTGGGTCAGGTGCACCTTAGTCCTCAAACTTTTCAGCACTTTAAAGAGGTCTTGTGCAGTAGATTTGCCAATGGAATACGTTATTTGATTTCTCGATTGCTGCTTCAGTGACTTGGTAGTGGATTCCAGCAAAATGAAGCACTTGACAATTTAAATATTTTCTCCATTTATCATGATGTTATTTACAGGTCCAGTTGTGAGGATTTTTGTTTTCTTTACATCCAGGTGCAACCCATACCGAAGGCTGTGGTCTTTGATCTTCATCAATAAGTATTTTAAGTCCTTTTCGCTTTCAGCAAGCAGGGTTCATAAATCCGCACATGGCAGGTTGTTAATGGGCCTTCTTCCAATTCTGATGCCACGTACTTTGTATATTGATATAATTCAGTTTCTTGAATTATTTGCTGAACATGATTTAATAAGTATGGTGAAAGAATACAACCCTGATGTGCGCCTTTCCTGATTTTAAAGCATTCGGTGTCCCCGCGTTCTGTTCTAACAACTACCTCGTGATTTATGTACAGGTTCCTCATTACATAGTGTTCCAGAATAATCATTCTGTGCAATGTTGTCCATAGCTTGTCATGATCCACACAGTCAAAAGCCTTTGCATAGTCAATAAAGCACAGGTAAACATCTTTCTGATAGTCTTTGCTATCAGCCAAGATCCATCTGGTGTAAGCAATGATATACTTCGTTCCATGTCCAGCTTGAACCTCTGGCTGTTCCCTATCAATGTACTGTTGCAGTCCTTTTTAAATTACCTTTAGCAAAATTTTACTTGCATGCCATATTATTGATGTCGTCTGAATGATTTCCACATTCCGATGGGTCACCTCTCTTTGAAATGGGCACAAATGTGGATCTCTTCCAATCAGTTGGCCAGGTAGATGTCTTCCAAATCATTTGGCCTAGATGAGTGAGTGCTTCCAGTGCTACATCAGTTTGTTGAAAGATTTCAACTTGTATTCCATCAAGTCCCAGAGCCTTGTTCTTTGCCAATATTTTTAATGTGCCTTGGGCTGCATCTTTTAGTTCTATTGTCTCTTGATTATATGCTGCCTCTGAAAAGGTTGAACATTGACCATTTCTTTTTGGTATGGTGAGTCTGTGTATTCTTCCATCTTTTTTTTGATGTTTTCTGCATCATACAATATTTTGCCCAGAGAATCCTTCAATACTGCAAGTGGAGGCTTGAATTTTTTCTTCAGTTCCCTCAGCTTGAGAAATGCTGAGCATGTTCTTCTGTTTTGGTTTTCTAACTTCAGGTCTTTGCACACTTCGTTACAATACTTGACTTTGTCTTCTCAAGCTGACCTTTGAAACTTTCTGGTCAGCTCTTTTGCTTCCTCATTTCTTCCATTTGCTTTAGCATCTCTACTCTGGAGAGCAAGTTTCAGAGTCTCTTCTGGCATCCATGTTGGTCTTCTCTTGTCTTTTTATTGTTCTGTTTGCTTTCTTTCGGTATGATGTTCTTGATGTCATCTCACAACTCTTCTGGTTTTCAATTATTGCTGTCTAATGCATCAGATCTGTTCTTGAGATGATCTCTCAAGTCAGGTGGGATATGTTCAAGGTCAGAGTTGGTCTCTCATGGACTTGTTTTCATTTTCTTCAACTTCAGCCTGAACTTGCATATGAGCAATTGATGGTCTGTTCCACAGTCTGCCCCTGGCCTGGTTTTGGCTGATGATATGGAGCTTTTCCACTGTCTCTTTCCACAGATATAGTCAGTTTGATTTCTGTGTATTTCATCTCTGAGGTCTATGTGTATAGTCATCTTTTATGATGTTTTAAAAAGGTGTTTGCCAACTACAGATTCTAAATCTTTGTCTCCAACCTTTTCATTCCTATCACCAGTAATATTCAATGCGTCTTGATTGCACATTTGATCAGTTTCATACTAAAGAAGTTGATAGAATTTCTTCAATTTCATCGTCATTGGCTTTAATCACTGGTGCATAAATTTGAATAATAACAGTATGAACTGGTCTTCCTTGTAGATGTATGAATATTTTCCTACCACAGACCGCATTATACTTCAAGGTAGATCATGATATATTCTTTTTAATGATGAACACAATACCATTCCTCTTCAATTTGTCAATCCTTTTGTAGTAAACCATATGATTGTCAGATTCAAAATGTCCAATACAAGTCCATTTCAGCTCACTAATTGTTAGGATATTGATCTTTATGCATTCTATTTCATTTTTGACAACTTCCGTTTTCCTAGATTCATACTCCTTATGTTCCATGTTCCGATTATTAATGGATGTTTGCAAGCTGTTTCTACTCATTTTAAGTTTTGCCCCATCAGCAAATGAAGGTCACAAAAGCTTTACTCCATTCACGTCATCATGGTTAACTCTACTTTGAGGAGGCCTTCCAACCTAAGGGGCTCATCTTCTGGCACTATATCTAATACGATTCTGGTACTATTTATAATGTTTCAATATACAATATTCTGGTGCTGTCTGACGCTGTTCCACTGCTATTCGTAAGGTTTTCAGTGACTAACCATTCGGAAGTAGTCTCCCTCTCCTTCTTCTTAGTGTGTCTTCGTCTGGACACTCAGCTGGAACCTGTCCATCATGGGCAACTGTGCTCTTATTCAAAATACCGGTGGTATAGTTTCCAGAATCACAGCAATGCTGTGTAAGCTACCCCAGTACGACAAACTGACAGACAAGTGGTGGTCTGAGGTCTGAGGAGGTGCCTTTAAGTATAGGAGGGGCTCTTTCTTGTGCTCTGGGACCAGGATGTGTGTGTCTGCCTTTGAGAGGGGAACACTCAGCCTGTGGAGGGTGTTCGGGCATGAGGTGTCCTGGGTTTGACGGCTAGGCTTTGAAGAATGACGCTCTTTGCTTCCATTGGTCTTGTTGTTGGTTTGAGTTTTGGAGAGTAGACCTAACCCACGTGGGATGGAGTAGAATTTGCTTCATGGTGTTTTTTTGGTTGTGATCTTTGCAGAAGCAGGTCTCCAGGCCTGCTTCTTCCTCGGGTTCAAACTGGCAGCCTTTTGGTTACCATGGTTACCAGCTGAGAGCAAACCATTTGTACCACCCGGAGGTCTTGAGGCCAGACGTTGAGAAGGAGGTGCCCCTGGGCTTAGGGGAGGGGAGGGTGTGTGTGCGTGTCTCCCCTCTTACCCGCCCCCTGCCCCTCTAGATGACGCTCTACCTCACCTTCCCTGTGGCCATGTTCTGGGTCGCCAACCAGGCCGAGTGGTTCGAGGACTATGTTGTACAGCGCAAGGTACACATGGATTGGGGTTCCTGGGCTCATTCTTTGGGGTTGGGGGCACCCACCTGCTGGGCCCCAGTGTCTCCTCCCTGAGCTGACCTTACCCTGGGTGTGGGGGCTCTGGAGCCTCCTGACTCACGCCCTCAGCTTTGACTTTGTTTCCACAGAGGGAGCTGTGGCCACCTGAGAGAGAGGGCCAGGTAAGTGACCAGGGAGCCCAGAACAGAAGGGCGTACTGAACAACCCAGACCCACTGCTGAGTCCCTGCCAACCCATAGAGACCCTGGTGGCCTGGGAAGAGCTGTCCTGTTGGAATCCCAAGACTGCATGTTTTTGTGAAAGCAGACTGCCGTATCTTTTTCTCGGGTGCAGCTGGTGTATTCAAACTGCCCATCTTTTGTGGTTAACAGCCAAGTGCTTCACCCACTGAGCCACTGGGCTCTTTGCAGAATGGCAAAAAAATGTCAGCAACCCAAACCACTGCCATCCAATCAATTCAGACAGAGTAGAACTGCCTCATGGGCTTCTAAGGCAGTAAGCCGGCAGCCACGCCTTTCCCTGCAGAGTGGCTGGCACAGGGCGGCAGTAGCCCCTCGCTCTGAAGGCTGACTGAGCTTTTCCATGTAGACGCTGGACTCTGAAGGCTTGGTCTGGGTAGTAGGAGAAGGGTGGCAGCAGGGGGGTCCAGGTACCTGAGGTGTGCCCCCTCCTTCCTTCCTTCCCCCTGATCCCCCTGCCCCTCCAGCGCCAAGAGCTGGAAGAATTCAAAGAGCGGTTACGGAAGCGGCGGGAGGAGAAGCTCCTCGGGGCTGCCCAGCAGAGCTCCTGAGGCCGCGCGTACTTACGCCCCAACCCCTCGGGCCCCGGATAAGAAATAAACTCAATGCCATGTTGCCTGTAGAAGTAGTTTTTATTCTTGGCTTTTAGGGGCCACTTGGGGCCTGGGGCAACTCAGGCCATCAAGGGGCTTGTGTCTGGGGCTGGGGGCTGCTGTTCCGTCGGAAGCTGAGAGCAGTTGGGTCCTGTGGGGTGAGGAGGGGTTGAGGGCTGTGTGTGCCGACTCGTTTCTGTGCCCCTTCCTGTGGATGAAGAGGAAGTCAGCCAAGGTCAGGGGATCAGGACAGTGCAGGACAGAGGGGACACACATTGGGGGGAAGAGCAGGACAGTGTAGGACAGAGGGAACACAGACATTGGAGGGGGTCAGAACGGTGTAGGACAGAGGGGATAGACATTGGAGGGGTTCAGAACAGTGTAGGACAGAGGGGACAGACATTGAGGGGTTCAGAACAATGTAGGACAGGGGACGGACATTGGAGGGGTGCAGGTAGGAAGCCCCATGTTCTGTCTCCCATCATGTCACTCTGCCCATACCCCTGAGCTCTCGATGACAGGTCTGGGAATGGTCTGGGGTGGTGGGTGTGTGAGGGTTGGTGTTGGGGCTCCCGTGTTTCCAGATGAGAACCCAGGCTGTGTGTGAGGGTGGGATAATACAGGTGCACAGGCAGGTGGGTCCATGTGTCATCTTCCACCTACCCCTCCCAGGGCTGCCATCCTCCCCCCACTGTGCCACCGGGGGCCTTCCTGGGCCTCCTGTCTGAAGTCAGAGGGCCCTGTGACCAGCAGAGGGGTGGGGGTGAGAAGTGCGCTTACTCGGGATACTCACCAACCTCTGTGTGTGTGTGTGTGTGTATAGGCGTGCCCACTCCTAGTCAGGAAGTGGGATACACGGTTGCCCCTGGCAGAACCTCACTCACCTTGGGCCCCAGGGGCTGGAAGCCAGGCATGGCATTGACCATCACGCGCTGGTCATCCATGCGGCGGCCTTGGGTGCTGGCCACCATGTCCATGAAGCTGTCCATCTCAGGCGCAGGACCGCCCTCTGCAGGGGTGGAGCCCGTGGGGAGCAACACAGCTTCCAGAGAACACCCCTGTCACCCCACTCATTAACCCATTTGTACCCCCATTCATGTTTGCACCCCAATGTGATTACCACCAGGCTCCCCCCACTCATGCGTCACCCCCAGCCCCACGCTCCTCACAGCTGTGTCTCGGTGGCAGACCCCTCAGATAGCATGCTCACGCCCATGCCCCCAAGCCCACTCTTACCAGTCTGGGGAGCCTGGTCCGGCCCCGTCTGCAGCGGGCAGCGCTGCTCCTCCATGCGGCCGCTCTGCACGTGGCTCAGCAGGTTGAAGAAGCCCTCCTGGTCTGGGGAGGCTGCCTGGGGACAGATGCACAGTCCAGCTGGTTCCTGGGCTCCTGGGCACCCCAGCTCCCACCCTGACCCAAGCTGGTCCTCCTCCTGGGTGCTCACCATGGTCCCCAATGCTGCTCTGTGGAGCTGCTGTCAATGAGACCCAAGTCTCCTTCCCAGTCCCAGCTTGCCACCCCACGTGGTGCCCCTCCAGGGAGAGGACGCAGGGCCAGCCTCCCCCCTCTCCCCTGGCCTAGATAGATACCTGACGGAGGACAGCGTGGGGGTGGGGCACATGCCAGGGAGCTGCTACCCCAAGTTCCAGCACCCCCACCTCACAGGGGTCAGGGTTGGCTCCGAGGACCCTGACTTTAGGCTTGGAGTGGGCATGCATGCAGACCCTCATGCCCACCCACACCTCCCTGAGGCAGTAACTGGGTCAGGGGTCCCAGGGGACTGGCCTGCTAATTAGATACCCTACAAGGTTGTTAGTCTTGTCAGGCACAAACTCAAACATGAAGGTTTCGTGGGTGGGGATGGGGGAATGACCTGCTCACTGTGGGGTACTGTGGGCCAAGCCTCTGCCCTCTGCCTTCTCATCCTGGGCCGTCATTGGCCCCGCTCCCCTCTCCGGGTCTCTGTCCACTGTCCTGCTGGATTGTACCCTGCCCCGTGGCCCCAGGAGGCTTTTTAAAAGGCCAGCATGTAGGGGACTGGATCCCAGCCCTCAACCCCCAGTGCACGCCCCATCTGCTCCCACCCAAACTTAAGCCCCATAAAGATCAGATAATTGTCCCCGCAGAATGATACTGGACCTGGGGAGGGGCTGGGCACAGGGTGACCTGGGCTTGGATCTTGCTGGACCCCAAGGACTGTAGGTCGGCTGTAGTAGGCCAGGCAGTGGCCCCAAAGTGGGAGTGGGGCAGGTCCTGCAGTCCACCAATGCCCCTCGGTGCTCCCCGCTCCCATCGGCACCCGTGACTGTCTCTCCTGGAAGTGAAGCTGCCGTCTGCAGTGCTAAGTTGAGGGCAGTGGGACCTGAAGACTTGTCCCTCCTCTTGGACCTCCCGAGGCAGCACCAGCCAACCCAGCTCCAGCTCCCTGATGGGGATCCCAAGGGGTCTCCTACTGCCCTTTCCTCTCCTCATTGTCCCTGGGGTCTGGGGGCCCAGCTCACAGCCTGGTGGTTGGACTGACAGCAGACCCCGGGACAAAGCCAACACAGCGAGGTCTGGGCTGTCCTGTCCCCTGGCCATGTAAGTCTTTTCTGACTCATCCCCTCAGCCCCACTGGATGCAAGAGGCTGGTCTCTGGGGAAGGCAGCCAGGAACTCTGTCCCTCGCCCTAGGAGAGGGTAGCATTAGGGAGAACCCCACACGCTCCCATCCCCACCCCAAGGTGCTTTTCGTGAAATCCAGGGCCCGTGTGATACCCTCTCCAGAGTCCCAAGTTCTTCATGACAACTTGAGTGATGACCATGTCCTCCTCACTGAGTACAGACTTACCCCAGCAGCCAGGCTGAGAGCTGGGGTGGGGTGGGACCCTGACTTCCTTGCAGTTACCCAGCACCCGCCTTTGCCCCTGACTCTAACCTTCGCCTAGAGGAGATCCCCTCCTTCCTCAGCTCAAAACTTCGGTTGGCCCACATCGTTCTCAGGATAAAACCCAGCTGCCTTTCGGTAACAGAAGTGTTCTAAAGTGGATTCTGATCATGGATGCAAATTATAAATCAATAATGCTGTTTAATAGAGTCCTGATGTGGTGCTGTAGGATAAGCACTGGACTGCTAACCACAGATTAGCTTTTCAAACCCACCAGCCGCTCCTTTGAAACCCTATACAGGGTCACTATGAGTCAGAACTGATTCGATGGCACTTGACAACAACAGTGCCGTTGAAAGGAGCCCTTGTAGTGTAGTGGATTACCAGTTGCCTTGCTAACTGCCTGGTCAGCAGTTCAAATCTACCAGCCGCTCCAAGGGAGAAAAACGAGGAGTTCTGTTCCCATAAAGATTTACAACTTAAGAAACCCTATACAGAGTTGCTAAGGGTTGGAACCGACTCCACGGCACACCACCACCACCGTGGTTTAAAATGGTTAAAAGAAAACAAACCCAAATGTCTAGCTAGGGTGACCAACCATTCAGGTTTTCCCAGACTATCCCAGTTTTAACACTAAAATCTCTGTATCCCAAAAAAAAAACCCTTGTCATCGTGATGTGCCGTGGAGTTGGTTCTGACTCATAGTGACCATGTATGGGATTTTCAAGGCTGTAAATCTTTAAGGGAACAGAGAGCCTCATCTTTCTCTTGTGGAACAGCTGCCACCTAATTCGTAACCACTGTTCTACAGTCCTGGACAAATCTCGAATGAGTCACTGCGTTGTCCTAGACGTCTGACCCTTGCTGTTTTTGTTGCTTGCTCCTCCCTCTGACCTCACTTCCCTCTCCAGTCCTTTTGCCCTGCCCAGTCTTCCTCTGTGCCTCCAAGCCCAATCCCTGCATTTCTCTCCCTGGATCCTACACAATACATGGGGACTCTTGGATGTCATCGTTCAACTCGAAGTCCAAGAGACCTTCTGGGATGTCATGAGTCAAATTGTGTGCCCCCTGAAAGATGTGTCAACTTGGCAGAGTCTTGATTCTCAGCATTATGTGCTCTATTTTGTGATCTGATGTAATGTTCCTGTGTGTTGTGAATCCTAATCTGCCTGATGTCACAGAAACAAGATTATTGGCATTTACGTTCATAAAATGGGGTGTAAACTACAGGATTAGGCTATATTTTGAATCAGTCTTCTTTTGAGATACAAAAGGGATTGAACAAGTTAACAGAGATGGAAAAGGCCTGCTCCCACCAAGAAAGAAGAGCCAGTAGCAGAGCGTGTCCTTTGGACCCAGGCTACGTACACTGGGGACTGCCTAGTACCAGGCAGCACAGAGACAGAAATCCTTCCCTTAGAGCCGGCACTCTGAACTTGGACTTCTAGCCTCCGAAACTGCGAGAGAATAACATTTTGTTTGCTAAAGCTACCCCCTTGTGGTATTTTGTTATAGGAGTACTAGATGATGAAGACATGTGACCACCCTCAATGGAAGGGCCCCCACCTGGCACAGGTTGTCTCATGACTGTGTATTTCCTTTATGACTGACTTGTTTGTTTCCTGTTTTCCCCACTCAACTTGAAGTACCACGTGGGCAGGGACTCTCTCGGATTTCTTCCCTGATATATATGGTCCATGTGTGTCCCATGTGACAGAAAATCTGCCACGTTGCAGAGTTGGCGCTCTCTTAAATACCAGTCAAGAGTTTGACCACGTTCCATAGACTCCTATCGACCTTGAGATGAGAGAGGGAAGAGGAAGGACTGGTTGGTCTGAAGTTTGGGGAGACTTGGGAACTCCTGAGCCCATGGACACTGACCTAGCCATGGAGGGCTAGAGCTGAGAGTGAAGTATCCAGCCGATATGAAGTGGGGGGAGATGCACAAGAACACCCAAACTTGAAGATAGTATCCATTTGACCTAGCCTTGATGACTTGACAGCCAGAACTCGACTGTTGTTATGTGCTGTGGAGTGGTTCCAACCCATAGTGATCCTGTACAGGGTTTCCGAGGGTGTAAATCTTTACGGGAGCAGAAAGCTTCATCTTTCTCCCACGGAGCAGCTGGTAGTTTCAAACTGCTGACCTTACGGTTCGCAGCCCGACTCGACTAGAGGAATATAAATTTGATAAAGGAAGCAAGTGTAAATTGCTACAATTTGATGAATGAGAGGGAGTCTTCACACCAAGAATCAAGCCTGTCCCCTCTGTATAAAGGGTTGATAGGGATGGGCAACTTAGACATTGGCTACCTAGCTCCCGTAAAGATTTACAGCCTCAGAAACCCTGTTCAGGGTCGCTATGGATCGAAACCGACTCGATGGCACTTAACAACAACAACAACAACAACCTAAAATAGGGGGTAGGGGCTATAAGGGTATGAAAGGAGCTCTGGTAGTGTAGTGGTTATGAATTGGGCTGCAAACCTCAAGGTCAGCAGTTTGAAACTACCAGCTGTTCCGTGGGAGAAAGAGGAGCCTTTCTGTTCCCGTAAAGATTTACAGCCTCATAAACCTTGTACAGGGTCAGTATGAGTCAGAACCAACTCCAGGGCACATCACCACCACCATAAAGGTACAAAGTGATTGGCTTACAAGTTTTCAAGAGGGAGTCTAGTTTCAGAGTGTGTGGGGGTAGGTAGCATCGCCACTGAATAGTTTTCATCTTGTCTAGATGTATCCGGTGAAAAGAGATGGGGATAGGATTCTTTTGATTCAATAGTGAGTAATTGTTACACGACTAATTGCAATAGCCACAACTGTAAAGGTACAAGTTGTGTAATAAAAAGGAGGGAGTACTTAATCTTACAGTTCAGGAACAGAGGACCCTAGAATCATCCAGAGAGAAGAGCGTAAGTGGAACATGGGACCCTAACCAGAGAAGCAGAAACACCAGAGATGGAGGCAGAGGCGAAGACATGGAGAGATAGAACAGCTGAGGACTCTAGACTCACAGAAAGAGAAAGGCTGTGTGCTGACAGCCAGAAAGCTGGCTTGCAGAATGTGCCCTTTGGTTGTTTGAATGATTATATATTCCTGAGTGTTTTGTGTACAACAAAAACCCAGAGAGAATAGAAACAAGTACTGTTAGCCAATTTTAAAAAAAGAAAAGAAAAAAGAAATACCAGCCAAATAACATAGCGTACAAAGACAGTGTTCTACATCCTATTTTGGTGTGTAGTGTCTGGGATCTTGAAAGTTTATGAGTAGCCACCTAAGATACAGCTGCTGGTCTGTCCTTGTGTGGAAGAAATAAGTGATAAGAATTGAAGATGCTTGGAATCAATTAGTCCAACAAACTAATGGAACATGTGAATATCAGTCTCCACAAGCCAGAGACCAGAAGAACTAGATGATGCCTGGCTACCATTGGCTATCACTACCCAAACGCTACAGGCTACAGACAGGCTTACTGGTCAGAAAGAGACATTAGGAACCTGAGAGAGACATTAGGCCCTTCAGGTCTGGAAAGGAACTCACTCTCACTGCCCAATTTTCAGCCAAGTAATAGATAGGTATTTAAGGAGGACAATATCACTAGCAAGGTATGCTTGAATGAAAAACCATTGAATTGAATGGCTAATCATTCAAAATTAAAGGGGAAAGTTTACCTAAGGACAAAGTTGAGAAGGGGAAGGGGAGTGGAATGGAAATAGAAACGACAGAGAGGACGCAGGATAATTTGATGCATGGAGGAACTGCAATCATTGAGATGAAATAAAGTGTGTGATTTGTGTAATGTGAAACTGATGATCTCGTCTGTAAACCTTCACTCAATTCACAATGAAAAGTTTAAAGTCTGAGTAGCTGTTCTACTCTGCAGACGTGGGGTCACTTCAGGTCAGAATTCATTTGAGGGTGACTAACAACCACAATCTTTACGGAAGCAGATCTGTAGGACTTTTCTTCTTGGTGTGGCTGCATGGACTTCAAGAACCACCGACTTTTCGATAGCAGTGGAACTCAAACCCTTTGGACCACTCAGGGACGATTCCAGGCTCCGTGGAGTTTACTGGATCCTCCCTGAGTCTGCCAAACTCAGGCAAATGGAAGAAGATACATGGGGCAAGGCTCCAGGACCAGCGGGCACGTGTTGTGGGGTCACGGTCCCGCAAGCACATAACAATTCGGACAGGGTGGCACTTTGCTTACAAGGATGCCCACAGTAGAAGCGTGTGCCTGCGCTCACATCTGTGGTCCGGAGAGCAGGCGCTAACCGCGCCAGGCCGCCCAGCCACTGCATGCACGTCCGCAAGCACATAACAATTCGGACAGGGTGGCACTTTGCTTACAAGGATGCCCACAGTAGAAGCGTGTGCCTGCGCTCACATCTGTGGTCCGGAGAGCAGGCGCTAACCGCGCCAGGCCGCCCAGCCACTGCATGCACGTCGGCGCGGACACGCTTGTCCCACGCCTCCACTGGCCTCGCCGCGCTCCCGACGGCGGGGAGGGGCCAGGTGCGCGGGGGCGGGGTCATGTGGATGACGCCCGGGTCCCGCCCCCACCTTGGGACAGACCCGGAAGCGGCGGCGGCGCCCCTGGGGAAGATGGCGCCCTCGGGGCTGAAGGCGGTGGTGGGGGAAAGTGAGTGTCCGCTAGGGACCCGGGCTCCTGGGTCTCCTGGGGAGCTGGGACCGGGGGCGTACGGGCTTATCGGACCCCGGCGGCGGGGAGTCGAGGGCTGGGCTGGACGCCCAAAGACCTGGATCCTCGAGGGGGCGGGCTAGGGCCTGCCCCTAGCTGACCGCCCAGTTTACCGGGGCCGTAGCGGAAGAGTTGGAAACGACTTCGGGAACCCAAAGGGCGGGCTCGGGATGCCGTGTGTTCCCTTGGTTCCAGAGGCGGCCACTGGGACTCGGACGTTTGGACCCCTGAGTCTGAGCCGGGCAAAGTTGTGGGGACCTGAACACTTGGGACCCAAAAATGCGAATTGGGGTCGACTGGATGCGCTGGTGGTTAAGTGTTGGGCTGCTAACTGCAAGGTTGGCAGTTCAAATCCACCAGTGGCACCGCGGGAGAAAGATGAGGTTGTCTACTTCGTAAAAGGTGGCGCTGTGGGCTAATGCAGTCAGACTGCAAAGCCATTTGAACTGCAAGGTCGGCGGTTCAAACTCACCAGCTGCTCCTTGTAAACCCTACACAGGGTCGCTATGGGTCGGAACCGACTCGACGGCACTTAACAACAACAACAACATTGGGTCTGTGGGAGTCTGGATGGACTGATAGCAGTGGGTGGATCCCACTGGTCAGCGGTCAGGTGGCGTGAGGGCTCAGGAATTTCAGGAGGCATGTCTAGGGCTTTTCTCTTGAGCCTCTAGAGCCCCTTGAAGTGTGAGGAGCCTGGTGTCCAGGTCACCCAGACTCAGGATCTTGAGGGAGAGAGCGGCGATCACTCCTTCCTCCCTTTCCACCCCCCTCCCCCCTACCTAGTTCCGGTTTCAGCTAGTGCTTCCCGTCTGGCGTCTGGCGGTTCTGATAACAGTGGATATGACACAGGCCCTGCGGGGCCACAGGGCCCCTTTTCTTGCCTTCCGATGAGCAGGGCAGAGTGTGGCTCAAATGCCCAGGGCTGCAACTAAACAGGAGCCTCGGAGACAGACACTAACGGGGTACCAGAAAACCATTGATCCATTTTACAGATGACGAAACTGAGTCTTGAGGTTAGGTAAGGGGATGATCACAGGAATCCAGAGGTCCTGCGTCATAGTCCAGGGGGAAGTGATGGCATGAAGAGAGCTGGAAGTAGCGGGTGGGGCAGGGCAGCCAAACCTGTATAGGTATCCCAGCTTTGTGCTTAGTGCTTCATTGTTGTTGTTGTTGTTGTTATGTGCCGTGGAGTCGATTCCGACTCATAGCGACCCTGTACAGGGTTTCCGAGGCTGTAAATCTTTAATCTAACGGCTGAAGGCACTTGGGCAAGTTACACAGCCCTCCTTGAACCACAGTTTCTTTGTCTGTAAATTACGGAACACTAGCCAGATGAGGCGTTCTGCTCCCGTGAAGATTTACAGCCTCAGAAACCCTGTACAGGGTTGCTATGAGTTGGAACCGACTCCACCGCACACAGCCACCAGCAGCTACTGCACAGGATTGGCCGAGGAGCCCATGGGAGTTAAGCGGAGGTTCAGCTTAGGGGTCTGGTGGGAGGAGAGGACTTGAGCCGACCCTTCCCTTCCATACAGAAATTCTAAGTGGAGTCATTCGGAGTGTCAAGAAGGATGGAGAGTGGAAGGTAGGGGTGAAGTAGAACTCCAGGGGTCCATTGTGTAGACTGGTGGGTGGGACCCTGTCCAAACCCACTTGGGATGAATCCTGGGTATTTCCACGCCAGCCTGCCTTTGTAGCTGTCAGCCCTGCCCATGGTCCGATTCACCTGTGTGTGTGTGTGTGTGTGTGTGTGCAGCTGAAGCCCCTTCCTGCCCATATGCACTTCCATCTGTCTGTCTGCCCATCCACTGGAATGAACAGGTGCTCATTATGGACCATCCCAGCATGCGCATCCTGTCTTCCTGCTGCAAAATGTCCGACATCCTGGCCGAGGGCATCACCAGTGAGTGGACGCCCTGCCTCATGCCCTCCGGAGGGACCCGAATGGGAGTCTCCCAAATGTGGAGCCCTCCCAAAGCCCCCTTAAGATGAGCCCAAACTCCTTGGATACGCAGCATGCAGCATTGAACGTGTGACCTTCCTAAGCATGCTACCCAAATGTGTAGCCTGAGGGTGGGACCTGTGATGTGTAGACCACCTGTACAGGGCTCCCAGGCTGGATCATGAAGGGGTCAGCTGTCCAGAATGTGCAGCCCCTGAGTGTGGATCCCATGTGGGTCACCCCTGAGAGTATAGCCTTTTATGGGAGACCCTGCTCATGGGTACAGAACCTTTCCTGCCCACATGGCATTTGGCCATGTGACCCCTTAGTGTTCATGTCTTGCTTAGGATGCTCAGGGAGTGGGACACTTTAGGTATCTGACCCTCATCCCCAAGTGTCCATCTCTCTAAATCTGCAGCTCCCCACATGTCCCTTTCCCTGACCCAGCCCTCTCCCACCCCACCCCGTCTCTTTCTCTGATTCCTTAAGTTGTTGAAGACATCAACAAACGGCGAGAACCGATCCCCAGTCTGGAGGCCATCTATTTGCTGAGCCCCACAGAGAAGGTGCCTGCGGCAGGACCCACAGTCTCTGTGTGTGCATGCGCACATGTATGCCTGTGCCTGCTAGTGTGTGCGTTCGTGTATGTGCACACAGGGGCATGTGCTTATGAGTACCTGTATGTTCAGCATGGAGTCTTGATGTGGCATTATAGGATAAGCAATGGACCGCAAGGTCGGTGGTTCAAACTTAACCAGTCGTCCCTCGGAAACTCTATACGGGGTCTCTAGGAGTCGGAACTGACTCGACAGCATTTAGCAACACCAGCACTGTTTGGTATCTATATACGTGCATGCATACATTCTGGGTACGGGTCCCTGTACAGGTGTGCATGTTCATGCATGTGCCTGTGGACACACGTGTGTGCAAATACCTGCATGCATGGGTACCTCCGTGTGTGAGCATGCACGTATGTGCTTGTGCATGCTGTGTGAATGTACATGTGGGTTGCATGCACGTGTGTATATGTGTGAGTGTGGGTGTCTTTGTGTTTGTAGATGGGAGCATGTGGGGGATGGAGGTTGTAGCTGGGGGCAGGGCAGTGGGTGGATCTAGCGGAGGGTGGATCTAGCGGAGGGGACCAGGCTTGAAAATTGATCCAATCCTTCAGTCGGTGCAGGCCCTGATAGCAGACTTCCGGGGCACCCCAACCTTCACCTACAAAGCAGCCCATGTCTTCTTCACTGACAGTAAGTGGGGAGTGCCTGGGGTTTCGGGACCCTGGGCAGTGAGGGGTGGGATTGCTCAGGCCTGACGCCATCTGCCCACCTCAGCCTGCCCTGAGCCCCTGTTCAGTGAGCTGGGCCGCTCTCGACTGGCAAAGGCGGTGAAGACGCTGAAAGAGATCCACCTTGCCTTCCTCCCCTATGAGGCCCAGGTATGTCCAGGCTGGGCATAGTGCAGTGCAGAGGCGGGGTCTGGGGCCACATATCCACAGGTTCCCTCAGAACTGCACTAGACAAGGATTGGGAGTCCAGGACCGGGATCGCCTAGAGGGAGTGAGGAGGGGTAGGAACTTTTGCCTGTGAACAATTGGAGTGGGGACCCAGCTGGGATGTTGATCCCCCAACTCCTTTAGATTCCAGGGTGGAGGATAGCCCAACAGGCTCCAGGACCAGGGAGAGCCCAAGGGAGAGACAGGGGCTGGCAGAGCTACACAGGTGTGCACTTACTGATCTGCTCTGACTCTGCCCCTCCCCAGGTGTTCTCTCTGGATGCACCCCACAGCACTTACAACCTGTACTGCCCATTTCGGGCAGGGCAGCGGGCGCGGCAGCTCGAGGTTCTGGCGCAGCAGATTGCTACCCTGTGTGCCACGCTGCAAGAGTACCCAGCCATCCGTTACCGCAAGTGGGGACCCCATCCTGCAGCTAACTTTTCACCTCTTCTGACCTCAGGCCCAATCCTTCCCCTGGTCTCTGGCTTGGCTCTTGGGTCCCTCCTTGATCTCCATCTGTGCCTGGCACTCCCCACCCCAGCCCCTGATGTCTGTGTCTGACCACTCTCCCCCCAGGGGCCCAGAGGACACTGCCCAGCTGGCCCATGCTGTCCTGGCCAAGCTGAACGCCTTCAAGGCGGACACACCCAGTCTTGGCGAGGTGAGGGGCATGAGGAGGCATGTTGGGGAGGTGCGACGCTGCCAGGTTCAAAGTCAGTGTTCTCACGCCTGACCCCCTCTCTCCCAGGGTCCCGAGAAGACCCGCTCCCAGCTGCTGATCGTGGACCGGGCTGCTGACCCTGTATCCCCACTGCTGCACGAGCTCACGTTCCAGGCTATGGCCTATGACCTACTGGACATCGAGCATGACACATACAAGTGGGTGACTGGGAACACGGACCCCACCCCCCGCCCACTTCGGACTTGGGGCTCCTAACTCCCATGCCCTCTCTCCCAGGTACGAGACCACCGGGCTGAGTGAGGCGCGTGAGAAGGCGGTGTTGTTAGACGAGGACGATGATCTGTGGGTGGAGCTTCGGCACATGCACATCGCGGACGTGTCCAAGTGCGTCCCCTGCCTGGGCCCTGCCCACACTGCACTAGCACCTCCCTCTCCCACCGTGTGCCTGGCACTGGGTCAGAGTGCACTCTGGCTGCACTTGGATTCCCGCCCCCTGCTGTCCTGGCCCTGCCCCTTCCGCTGTCCCCTGGCAATGTGACCATCATAACATTTTCCAAAATCTGCAACTTTTGCGCCAACACCTCTCCCTCTCCCCCTCAACCAAACCTTACCTCGCCCATCCTCCTCACCAGGAAGGTCACGGAACTTCTGAAGACATTCTGTGAGAGCAAACGGCTTACCACTGACAAGGTTGGGGGGCGCAGGGGGGCGGAGCTCCTCTGGTAGAAGAGCTGTGAGTGGGCGGGGCCTGGCCACACACCACCTCCTGTCTTATCTGGCCCCTGCCCTCTAGGCCAATATCAAAGACCTGTCCCACATCCTGAAAAAGATGCCACAGTACCAGAAGGAGTTGAATAAGGTGAGTTTCGGAGGGTCCGGTAGGCAGGGGATGGTGTGCCGCGGTCTTAAGGCGCAGCCTCTGTTATCTCAACGCCTTCCCCTCAACCTGAAGTATGCCACGCACCTGCATTTAGCTGATGACTGTATGAAGCGCTTCAAGGGTTCTGTGGAGAAGCTCTGCAGTGTGGAGCAGGTGAGGCGCGATTGGTGGGTGGAGCCTGTAGAACTGTGGGAGGGGCAGGGCCCCAGGAAGAGGGAGGCCTTGGAGGGGTGGGGCTTGTAGGAGGGGTAGGGTGGGCTTGGGGAGCTTGAAGGTCTTCGTAGTGACCCTGGGGCTATCCCTGACTGTGCATCCCACCCCTGTGGTGGCCTTGTCCTTTAGGACCTGGCCATGGGCTCCGATGCTGAGGGCGAAAAGATCAAGGACGCTATGAAGCTGATTGTGCCGGTGTTGCTGGATGCTGCAGTGCCATCGTATGACAAAATCCGGGTCCTCTTGCTCTACATCTTCCTGCGGAATGGTGGGTGGGAAGGTGTGGGGACCACAGGGCACCCTCATTCACTAGAGCTTCCTGTGATCTTGTGAACCCCAAGTTCCCCTGCCCTCAGGACCCCCATACTTTATAGGAACACCAAAGTCCACAGACACCCACCTGGACACTGAGACGCCTCCTTTCTGTTGACTTGTTAAGTGCCGTCGAGTCTGTTCCGACCCATAGTGACTCTGACCAGGGTTTCTGAGGCTGTAAATCTTTACGGGAGCAGAAAACCTCATCTTTCTCCCGCAGAGCGGGAGCCCCTAAATCTGTGACATCTCCAAACTTGGTCCCCCTAGCTAATCTCGAGGATCTTCCAATCTGCCCCCTCAGGACCTCCTACTAGAATCTAACACCAGAATCCTCCTAGCGCTGACTGGGGGCTCCCTAGGTCCCCGGACCTCATTTCCCCACCCACGACCACCTCCTTGTTCCCTCCGCCCTGTCTGATCCTCCCCTGTGCTCCCCGCAGGTGTGAGTGAGGAGAACCTGGCCAAGCTCATCCAGCATGCCAACGTCCAGGCACACTGCAGCCTCATACGGAACCTGGAGCAGCTGGGGAGCCCGGTTACCAACCCCGGGGTACACAGGCTGCAGGGCGAGGGTGGGGGAGGGCCTGGGTCTGGTGGAGGGGTGCACTGTGGGGTGGAAAGTAGGGTCCCGGGCCTTAGAGCAAGGGCACACAGTCTGACCTAGGCTCCTGGAGGTCTCAGACATGCCCCCACCTTGGTCCCTAGCAGCGCTATCATGTGTTTAGTTCCGTTTTCAGCCTCTTCTTGTATCCCTGCCCCTGTGGTCTCTCTCTCTGCCCTCCATCTCTCTGCTCCCTGTTTCTCTGTTTCCATCTTTATGTTGGCCCCCCTCCTCTGGGCTCCGTCTCTCTCTGTTCCCCATGCCTACCTTTGACCTCTTACCTAATGGTCTGTTCTCCCTTCTTACTCTTTCTCTGCCTTTTTTCGCTCACTGCTTCTCTCTTTCTCTCTTCATCTCTCTCACTCTTTCTCTTTCCCATTTCTCCATCTCTGTCTGCACACCCCCCAGCACATGAAACCCCGCCCCATCTGTGACCTGCTATCCACTGCCCCCTAGGGCTCAGGCCCCTCCAGCCGGCTAGAGCGCAGGGAACGCCTGGAGTCCACCTACCAGCTGTCCCGCTGGACTCCAGTCATCAAAGACGTGATGGAGGTACTGTGGGGGGCGCACAGGATGGGGGGGACACCCCTGCTCTGATCCAGGCTGGGCCTCCCATCTGTTCTTATGCTAAGCCGAGGGGCGTGATAGAAAATTCCTCATTACTGACGTTCTGGTGTCTCACCAGTCCTGCTGATAACCCCACCCTGCCCCACTCTTCTCCTGCCTCCTGTAAGCCCGCTGCCTGTCCACGGCCGTCCCCCTGACTGCTGTCCCCATAAAGTGCTGGCCCCTCCCACTTGAGGCTTAGTGGCCTTTGTCCTCCTTGTTTCTGTGGACCTTGGAGATCTAGATTCCTGGGTCTAATGGCTGGGGGCTGCCACTTTGGGTCCCCAAGGGGCCAGAGGTGGAGGGAATGAATTCCTGGGTCCTTAAGGGGCTGCGGGAGACCTTGGGTAGTGCAATCAGCTAAACACTGAAAGGTTAGATGTTTAAATTCACCCAACGGTGCCTCCGAAGAAAGATGTGGCAGTCTGCTTCCAAAAATGCCACAACCCTGAAAACCCCATGGGACACAGTTCTGCTTTGCACACCTGAGTCAGAATAGGTTAAGGGACTGGGGTCCTGGATTCCTGGACCCCCAGGGGGCTGGAGTGGGATGTAGGTCCCTGTCTGTGAGATCTCAGCCCTGAGCACATCCAGGGGGTGGGGGTGGGGGGTGGGGAGGGCTTTAGACTTTGCTGTGCCCCCGCCTAGGGCTTCTCTCCTAAAGCTTCCTTGTGGATCACCCCAGGATGCTGTAGAAGACCGACTGGACCGGAAGCTGTGGCCTTTTGTGTCTGATCCTGTCCCCACATCCAGCTCCCAGGCCGCTGTCAGGTGAGGGCTTGGGGACACCGAGGGGCTAGGGAGCCCCCCCCTTGCCAGGGTGGACCTCTGCTCACTTGACAGTTTGATTGTGGGACTCCTGCCTGGACTGACCTTTGTCCCTACCTCACACAGTGCTCGCTTCGGCCACTGGCACAAGAGCAAGGCGGGCGTGGAGGCACGGGCAGGACCCCGGCTCATCGTGTATGTCATGGGCGGTGTGTCCATGTCAGAGATGAGGGCCGCCTATGAGGTGACCAGAGCCACTGAAGGCAAATGGGAGGTGCTCATAGGTGAGGGGTTGCATCCCTGGAGGTGGGGCCTGGGGTTCCTGGAGGGGGTGCTGGATTCCCTCAATCCTGGAGGCCAGGCTACACTTCTGGGTTCTTGAGGGCGGGGAGTTGGTAGCTCATTCCTGCGCCCTCAAAGGGCTGACGTCTGGAGCCTGGGGCCTTGGTTCCAGGGTTTCCGGAGGGCTGGAGTGTGATATAGGTCCCTGTATATGGGATTGTGGCTGCAGAACACATCTTGGAAGGCGTGTCTCTCGACTCTACCCCCTTCCCACCCCCAGGGCTTCTCTCCTAAACCTTTCTCTTGGGCCACCCCGGATGCCCTGGAGAACGGGCTGGACTGGCATCTGTGGGGGTGGATTGGACTCCTGAGGTTCTGAGGTCCTGGGGCCTGGGTTCCCAGGGAATGGGTTCTGAGGTTCTGAGGGACTGGGGCCTGGGTTCCCAGGGAATGGGTTCTGAGGTTCTGAGGGACTGGGGCCTGGGTTCCCAGGGAAGGGGTTCTGGGGTTCTGAGGGCCTGAGGCTTGGGTTCCCAGGGAAGGGGTTCTGTAGTTCTGAGGGCCTGGGACCTGGGTTCCCAGGGAAGGGGTTCTGAGGTTCTGAGGGCCTGAGGCCTGGGTTCCCAGGGAAGGGGTTCTGAAGTTCTGAAGGCCTGGGACCTGGGTTCCCAGGGAAGGGGTTCTGAAGTTCTGAGGGCCTGGGGTCTGGGTTCCCAGGGAAAAGGTTCTGAGGTTCTGAGGGCCTGAGGCTTGGGTTCCCAGGGAAGGGGTTCTGAAGTTCTGAGGGCCTGGGACCTGGGTTCCCAGGGAAGGGATTCTGAAGTTCTGAGGGCCTGGGGCCTGGGTTCCCAGGGAAGGGGTTCTGAGGTACTGAGGCCTGGGACCTGGGTTCCCAGAGAAGGGGTTCTGAGGTTCTGAGGGCCTGGGACCTGGGTTCCCAGGGAAGGGGTTCTGAGGTTCTGAAGGTCTGAGGCTTGGGTTCCCAGGGAAGGGGTTCTGAGGTTCTGAGGGCCTGAGGCCTGGGTTCCCAGGGAAGGGGTTCTGAGGTTCAGAGGGCCTGAGGCCTGGGTTCCCAGGGAAGGGGTTCTGAAGTTCTGAGGGCCTGGGGCCTGGGCCTGGGTTCCCAGGGAAGGGGTTCTGAGGTTCTGAGGGCCTGAGGCCTGGGTTCCCAGGGAAGGGGTTCTGAGGTTCAGAGGGCCTGAGGCCTCGGTTCCCAGGGAAGGGGTTCTGAGGTTCTGAGGGCCTGGGACCTGGGTTCCCAGGGAAGGGGTTCTGAGGTTCTGAGGGCCTGGGACCTGGGTTCCCAGGGAAGGGGTTCTGGGGTTCTGAGGGTCTGAGGCCTGGGTTCTCAGGGAAGGGGTTCTAAGGTTCTGAGGGACTGGGGCTTGGGTTCCCAGGGAAGGGGTTCTGGGGTTCTGAGGTTCTGAGGGCCTGGGGCCTGGGTTCCCAGGGAAGGGGTTGCTGGGGGCTGTCCTTTTGTTGCCAGAGTTCTAGCTCACAGGTCTTCAGGGTCAGGGGCCGAGGCAGTGACCCCACCTCCAGCCTTCCCTCCTGCCCAGGCTCCTCGCACATCCTCACCCCCACCCGCTTCCTGGATGACCTCAAGACGCTGGACCAGAAGCTGGACATTCCCCTTCCCTGACCCTCCTGTCCCTGCCACCCTGCCCTTTCCAGATAAATAAACTCCTCCCTCCTGTCTGCCAGCCCCTGTTTGCCTTGCTTGCTTTCTGAGGGTACACTTGGGAACTGTGCTGGGCCAGCCTCCACTGGGCCTAGTGCCTCAGGCCCCACCCAACCCTGCTGCTTGCCAGGACCCTTCCCTGACCCCTGCCCACACTGAGAGTCCTGCCCAGCCAGCCTCAGCCCTGCCCTGTGGAACCTAAAACTTGGGCTCCAGTTTGAATTAGTTCCAAGATTGACTAACTGGGAGACTGTGGCCGACCCATTGCCTCCCCATCTGAAAAGTGGCCTCAATAATGGCAGCAACTTTGCAGAGAAGGAACCCTGGTGGCGCAGTGGATTATATGTTGGGCTGCGAGTTCAGCAGTTCGAACCCACCAGCCACTCTGAAGGAGAAAGATGAAACTGTTTGCTCCTGTAGAGATTTACAACCATAGAAACCGAAAGGAGAAGTTCTGCTCTGTCGTCTGGGTCACTGGATGGTGGTGCTGTACCACAGAGAGAGTGCAGGTGAAGCTGACGGCATTGGACACGTGGCAGTGCTGAGACTTCATCGTCACTAGGGTTATTTTGGTGGCTCTGAAGGAACTGTTATTAACAGGCAGTCCAGCCTCTATCCTGCCCTCCCCCAGCACCCCAGGAGCCCCTGACAGGGCCTTCCAGCCACAGGAGGTTCCGGGCCAGCAGGTGAGAGTCTAGGAAAGCCCCTTCCCATTCCAGCAGTACCCTGGGGCTCCTGACTGCCTTTAACCAAAACACCCCACTAGGATTGAGTAGAGGACCGCGGCTCTGTAGGAATAAGCACTGGACTGCAAACCACACGGTCAGTGATGTGAGGCCAGCAGCTGCTCTGTGGGAGAAAGATGAGGCTTTCTGCCCCCACGAAGGTTTATAGCCTCGGAAACTCTACAGAAGGTTTCCAAGATTGTACATCTTTACAGACACAGACTACCACATCTGTCACACACTGAGCACTGGTGGGGTCGATCTACCAATCTGTTAGCGGCCCAATGCTTAACCTGCTATGCCACCAACACTCCTTTTATCAGCACCTTTTCAAGGGTAAAATGAGGTCACAGCACAAATAAGACCAAGAGGACCCTTCTATCTGGGGCACAAACCCACAGCCAGATAGACACCCCGCAGAGGATGCCAGCTGTGCTAGGGGTGGGCAGGGAAGGCTTCCTGGAGGAGGTGAGGGTTGAGTTGAGTGAAGAATGATCACAGGGAACTGGAGGGAGAGGGTATTGGTGATAAGGGTCAAGATCTGAGAGCCAAGAGGATTGGGGACCCCTGCTAGGGACATGGAAGTACCTGGGTGGTGTAAATGCTTTGTACTCAACTACTGACCTAAACATTGACAGTTTGAACTTGATATTACCTTAAAAAAAGGTCTGGTGATTTGTTTTTATAGAAATGACAACCAAGCAAACCCTATATGGAGCACAATTCTACTCTGTTCCACATGGGGTCGCCGTGAGTCAGAATTGATTCCCCAGCAACAGGTTTGGGTTTTTGGCTTTGGCTTAACGAGGAGACACAAACAGGGTATTTGAGCCGGAGCAAGTAGGCGTGGCCATTTTATGTTGTTGCTGGGGAGTTGCTTCTGACTCATAGTGACCCTGTATAGGGTTTCCCAGGAGCGACTGGTGAATTTGAACCTCTGACCTTGAAGTTCAAACCGACCTGTGGTTGAGTGCTTGTCCTACAGTGTCATCCCGGACTCAGGCCATAGTGCTGTCTAATAGTGACGCCACTCCGTGGGAGCCGTGGGAGGCAGACTAGGGTAGTCATGGTCAATAAAAGTTTGTTGTCTTTGTGTTAAGCGCTTTCTGTCTAACCCTGTACAGGGTGGCTATGAGGACCCATCTGAAAGACATTTAATAACAATAGGCTTGCTTCCGCAGCAGATCGACTGGTGGGCTCAAACAACCCACCTGGTGGTTAGCAATTCAGTGCTTATCCTATAGAACCACCGCGCTCCACAATAAAGATTCACAGCTTTGGAAACCTGGGCAGTTATAGGGTGGATATGATTGGGAATCGACGGGGCCGCAGTGGGTTTGGCGTTAATCATGAATGAAGCAGCTCGTCGGACACTCGTGCCTGGGGTGGACATGGCGTCCACTGGTGGAGCCCTACGTAGTTCCATTCTGTTCCTTCTGGGGCTGGGAACCCAAGCACAAGGGCAGAGACAGGGCATCCGAGGCCCTCCTTCCACACCCCTGGAAGGCTTGATCCGAATGTGGCGCTGTGGATTAATGCCCTGGAGTCCGTTTGAACCGCAAGTCGGCGGTTCAAGCTTGCCAGCCGCTCCCCGGAAACCCTAACAACAACAGATGATAAGCACCTGACTGGGAACCACAAACTTGGCGGTTTGAGCCCGCCAGTCTCTCCGTGGGCAAAAGATGAGGCTTTCTGCTCCCACAAAAATTTAATAGCCTTGGAAATCCCTATTTTGTTGTTAAGTGCCGTCGAGTCTGTTCTGACTCAGCAACCCTGTATAGGGTTTCCAAAGAGCAACTGGTGGGTTTGAACTGCTAACCTTGTGATTAGCAGTTTACCTACAGCGCCACACGAGGAGTTCCGAAACTTTATACAGGATCGCTTTGAGTCACAAGCGACTCTATGATCCTTAACAATAACAACCCCTCCAAAAGGAGTCCTGGTGTGGCACTGAAGGAAAAAAGCACGCACTGCTAACCTCAAGGTCCAGCCACTTGAGTCCTAACCACTTCGACATCCCTTAACACCTTTCCAAGAATGCAGGATAATCTAAGGATAATTTACCTAGAAAAGATGCACACAGTTTTGTAGACGAGAGGTCTTAGGAAGGAAAAGTACAAAACCGCTAGAATCTGCGAGTCTGCTCTAGGCCATCGCGATCTTGGGGCGATCGCGGTGGGGCGTGGGAGAAAGTGGGTCGTTGCAGACCCCTGAGACCACTCGCTCCTGATGCTTTGGCAGGAAAGCGTTTTTAACTTGCAGGAAACAGAGCGAGTGGGAGTGTGATCTCTATGCCTTGTTTTTTTTAACGGTGGTTTGGGTGAAAGGAAGGACTTGGTTTTCCAATTTAAGATGTTAAGCAATTAACTTTAAAATGTTAAGCCTGGGCTTCCCCGCGGGCGGGTCGTGCAAGTACTGATGTGTGCACCAGGGGGCGCTGGGGCCCCGTTTCCCGGTTTCTTTGTTCTGCCGGTTTGAAACTGCGGCTTGCTTTACTCCTAACTAGAAACCGAAGTAGGTCAGGGGATATTCAGTAGTTCTCAGTGGCAACAAAACTGTTGCTTAAACCATCTTGACCTTTGCTCCTTGTTTATACCCAGACAATGTTGTGACGTCTTTGCGCTGAGAGCATTTTGTTGATTCTACAAATATGCATCGACCTCTATGGGTGACTGCAGCTGGCATCTGCCTCACGCATTTCCACTGAATCGTCGTCATCATCCTGCTCAAAACGTTCTGTGGTTTTCCTCCGCAGGCACATAAACTCCAGGGACAGCGAAATAAGTCAGACGCAGAAGGACAAATACGAAGGGGCTTCAAAAAGTTGGTGGAAAAATGGAATGAAAAGATCATGGAATTTCCCCACAAACTTTTTGAACCCCCCCTCGCACTGTGGACCCCCACTTTTATGTAATCCTTGTTAAGTACCGTCGAGTTGGTTTCGACTCATAGCGACTCTGTGTAGGATTTCCAAGGGTCGGCTGGTGAGTTGGAACTGATCTTGTGGTTCAAACTGACCTTGGGGTCCTGTGCTTGGTCTTACAGCACCACACCAAATTCACAGATAAACGTTTACTAGAGGACATCAAGGGGTAGGGGAATTACTACTTAAGGGGTACTGCGTTTCTCTTTGTTGTTGCTGGTGCCCAGTTGGCCCCTAAATTATGATGCTCCCATTGACAATGGAATGAAATGTATTGTGGTACCCACGTGATTGGTTGGGGACCAGACAGCCTGAGCCATACAGTTTTCACTGATTGAGTTTTGGAAGTCCATCACCTGCCCTTTCTTCCTAGTTTGTCTTAGTCTGGAAGCTCTGTTGAAACATCAGCATCCTAACCCACAAGCCTCCATGATGGCTGAGCAAGAGGTGCTTGTCTGGGAACTGAACTCGGTCTCCTGCCTGGAAGGGAAGAATTCTATTAGGGAACCACCGTAATTCTATTATGGGCAGAGTGGGTCAGACGAGGTCACAAGGAAGCAAGCTGCCAAATCCAAGATTGGGGCCATGCCACAAAACAGGAAAAGAGGCACCAAGAAACCACACAAGGAGTGCCTGGTGGGTGGTTGTGTACCACAGAGTCAGCTCTGACTCACAGCTACCGTGTATAGGGTTGCCAAGGAGTGCC